GGGGGAGAGAGAGAGAGAGATCCACCATCTGCCAGTTAACTCCCCAAATAGCCGCAACAGCTGGGGCTTGGCCAGGCTAAAGCCAGGAGCTTCTTCCAGGTCTCCCACATGGGTGCAGGGACCCAAGCACTTGGGCCATCCTCTGCTGCTCTCCCAGGCACTTTTGCAGGGAGCTGGATTGGAAGTGGAGCAGCCAGGACATGAACCAGCACCCACATGGGATGCCAGCATCTCAGGCTGCAGCTCCAAGGCTGTGCCACAGTGCAGGCTCCTACTGTACACATTTGTTTTTAAATTAAGCTATATATATATATATATATTTTAAAGGTTTATTTTATTTATTTTAAAGACAGAGTTACAAAGAGAGGTAGAGACAGAGAGAGAGGTCTTCCATCCGCTGGTTCACTCCCCAGATGGCCGCAACAGCTGGAGCGGGGCCGATCCGGAGCCAGGAGCTTCTTCTGGGCAGAGAGCTGGATTGGAAGAGGAGCAGCGGGGACTAGAACCAGCGCCCATATGGGATGCCGGTGCTTCAGGCCAGGGCGTTAACCCTCTGTGCCATAGCGCTGGCGCCTGTACACTTTTTTTTTTTTTTTTTGGACAGAGTGGATAGTGAGAGAGAAAGGTCTTCCTTTTGCCTTTGGTTCACCCTCCAATGGCCGCTGCAGCCGGCGCATCGTGCTGATCCAAAGCCAGAAGCCAAGTACTTCTCCTGGTCTCCCACACAAATGCAGGCGCCCAAACACTTGGGCCATCCTCCACTGCATTCCCGGGCCACAGCAGAGAGCTGGCCTGGAAGAGGGGCAACCGGGACAGAATCCGGCGCCCCGACTGGGACTAGAACCTGGTGTGCCGGCGCCACAGGCAGAGGAGTAGCCTATTGAGCCGCGGTGCCAGCCTACCCTGTACACATTTGTAACATCGGGTAAACACCGTGAAATAGACACTCCTGTCGTGGGCATCTGAGATCATCTGCTCCCCCACAGCTTTTCCAGCACAGTTTATCAACTTTAAATCTCTGCCAGTTTGTTGAGTGAAGAATGTACAATTAGGCCGGCGCCGCGGCTCACTAGGCTAATCCTCCGCCTTGCGGCGCCGGCACACCGGGTTCTAGTCCCAGTCGGGCCGCCGGATTCTGTCCTGGTTGCTCCTCTTCCTGTCCAGCTCTCTGCTGTGGCCTGGGAAGGCAGTGGAGGATGGCCCAAGTCCTTGGGCCCTGCACCCGCATGGGAGACCAGGAGAAGCACCTGGCTCCTGGCTTCGGATCAGTGCGATGCGCCGGCTGCAGCGGCCATTGCGGGGTGAACCAACAGAAAGGAAGACCTTTTTCTCTGTCTCTCTGTCAAAAAAAAATAAAAGTACAATTAACTGCACATATTTAAAATGTACAAACTCAGTGCTGGTGCTGTGGTGCAGTGGGTTCATCCTCCGCCTGTGGTGCCTGCATCCCATATGGGTGCCCATTCGTGTCCCGGCTGCTCCACTTCTGATCCAGCTCTCTGCTATGGCCTGGGAAAGCAGTAGAAGATGGCCCAAGTCCTTGGGTTCCTGCACCCACGTAGGAGATCCAGAGGAATCTGGCTTCGGATCTGCCCAGCTCTAGCTATTGCAGCCATCTGGGAGTGATCCAGCAGATGAAAGATCCTTCTCTCTTATGCTCAGTGTCTGTAACTCTACCTCTCAAATAAGTAAACAAAATTTTTTAAAACAAAAAAAATACAAACTTGATGAAATTTTACGTGAATACAGCTAAGAAACCATTTATACAATTAAAGTGAATCCATCACTCTCAGAAGCTTCCTCATGTTTTTTTGTAATCCCCACTCCCCCATCCCCCAGGATGCTAGAATCGTTTTTGTTTGTAATCATACTGTATATATTTTTGTTTTGCTGTGAGTCTTTTACTAGCATAGTTTTTTTTGTTTGTTTTTTTGGTGGAGTTAGGGAGAGGCAGATGCAAAGAGAGAGAGTCTTCCAACCGCTGGTTCACTTCCCAAATGGCCGTGACAGCTGGAGCTGGGCCAGTCTGAAGCCAGGAGCCAGGAGTTTCTTTTGGGTATCCATGTTGGTGCATGGGTCCAAGGACTTGGACCATCTTCCACTGCTTTCCCAGGCACATTAGCAAGGAGCTAGATTGAAGTGGAATAGGGGCCAACACTGTAGCACCATAGGGTAATCCTCTGCCTGCAGCGCTGGCATCCCATATGGGCACCGGTTCGAGTCCCGGCTGTTCCTCTTCCAATCCAGCTCTCTGCTGTGGCCTGGGAAAGCACTAAAAGATGGCCCAAGTCCTTGGGCTCCTGCACCCGTGTGGGAGATTGAAAGAAGCTCCTGGCTTCGGATTGGCGCAGCTGCAGCCATTTGGGGAGTGAACCAGTAGATGGAAGACCTTTCTCCCTGTCTCGCCTTCTCACTGTATGTGACTCTTTCAAATAAATAAATAAAATCTTTAAAAAAAAAAAAAAAGAAAGAAAAAAGTGGAGCAAACCTGTGCTCACATGGGATGCCTGTGCTGTAGGCCAGGGCATTAACACGCTGAGCCACAGTGCCGGCCCCAGTGTATTCAGTTACTGATGGACATTTCAGTTGTCTCCAGTTTTTGGCTATTATGAATAAAGCTTTTGGGAACATCTGTGTAATCGACTTGGTATGGTCAGTCTTCACTCTCTTGGGAAAGTCCTGGCAGTGAAATGGCTGGATGTCACATGGAAGGGCATCTTGAAAGGGATTGCTGAGGCCGGCGCCGCGGCTCACTAGGCTAATCCTCCGCCTTGCGGCGCCGGCACACCGGGTTCTAGTCCTGGTCGGGGTGCCGGATTCTGTCCTGGTTGCCCCTCTTCCAGGCCAGCTCTCTGCTGTGGCCAGGGAGTGCAGTGGAGGATGGCCCAGGTGCTTGGGCCCTGCACCCCATGAGACACCAGGAGAAGCACCTGGCTCCTGCCATCGGATCAGCGCGGTGCACCGGCCACGGCGGCCATTGGAGGGTGAACCAACGGCAAAGGAAGACCTTTCTCTCTGTCTCTCTCTCTCACTGTCCACTCTGCCTGTCAAAAAAAAAAAAAAAAAATTGCTGAAGCGTTCGTTGGCATGTTTGCGGCAGTAAAAGATAAACTTTTCAGGTGGTTCTGTGGTTAACTCTGACACAAGCGGTAGTTCTGATTTTGCTCGCTGTCACCGTTCCTTTGCAGGGAGTCTGAAGATACAGTACTGCTGGTCCTCAAGGAGATCTATCAGACCCAGGGGGTCTTCCTTGATCAGCCCCTGCAGTGACCATGACCGTCACCCACGGCCACCACGTAGGGTGAGTTTTCAGACCTTATGCACGCACTTAGTTCTTACATTTACATGCTAGAAGGGTCTGGGGAGCCTCGGGCTCCTTCCAATACGCCTTTCTGTGGCCTTTCTCCAAGATCCTATCATCATTGGTGCTTCAAGGGGCTCTGGTTGCAATTCATGGGGGAGATGCAGGGGCCCACTTGGAGAAATAGTGTATGTGTGTTGTGCTAGGATCTTGTCTGATGACCTCTGCCACAGCCACAGTTCAGCCTCCCTGAGGGTTCTGTTACTCAGTTACTTAGATGTGGAAGGAGAGTCTTTTTTTTTTTTTTTTGGACAGGCAGAGTGGACAGTGAGAGAAAGAGACAGAGAGAAAGGTCTTCCTTTGCCGTTGGTTCACCCAAAGGAGAGAGTCTGTGTATTCAGCGCTGGGCTTCTCCGTGTGGCCCTCCATTTGGGGCTGTGTGCTGACCTCTCCCACTCTCTCCTAGACGGACGTGGGGGGACCCTTCCCCAGGAACCCTACCCGTGCGGGGCTGCAGTTTCCCTCTTGTCAGCCGCATCACCTCCCGCCTGTCACCCGCCACTCACTCACAGCGAGGTCTTTGGAAGATGCTCTCCTCTTCCGGACGCGAGTGGAAAAGCGAAGGGAGACCGTCCCTCTCCCCCGGCTTCCCAGGAACTCTCACCGTTCTTGCTTCACGTCTCGCTCTCCGGCGATGGTGCATCGGGGCCACACGTCACTGCTTAGTGCTGGAGGCGGTATGAAGTCTGTTTTGAGTTTGATTTGTTTTGGGTTGGGTAGAAATGATTCCTAGGGAGTTATGTTTAGAAAACGTGGTTTTGAAGCAGGTTCTTGAGCTTTTTGGGGCACGCTGACCTCTCGGCGTTTTCTGCATGTGAAGTCTCAGTGGATGTGGCGAAGGCGGGCATACTTCTGAGCCGGCGCTGCCGTCCTGTGTGTGCCGTGTGAAGACCGGAGTGTAGCTTTGACAGCATTGTTTCCTCTCCTGCTGACCAACGGATTTACTGTGAGGGATCACTGATGTTAGCCCTTGTTTCTACAACTGTGTGGGCCGCTTAAGTCCGCAATGGGCAGGTTAGTGCACCTGACGTGCGTCTTTACAAGAGTTTACATATCTACATCTGTCCTTTTTACCATATTCCAAGTTAGGAGACTCTAGATAAAGTCTGAATTAGTTATTTGGTAATAGCTTTTATTATGTTGAGGATGAAGTTGTAAAAGCTGACAAACTTGAAATTGCAAACATCGGCTTGAAAAGACTATGTAAACACAATCTTGTAGTGGTGCCCCTGTGGTGAAACAATTTAAATCATCTGCCACCTCCACGGTGTGAAGGTGGTGTTGTGTGTCCTTTCAGAACGTCTGTCGATGTCACTGTCTTCTTGTGTACCCACATCCTGAATATTTTACAGGCTCTTGGAACAGGGCATTGTTGGTTGAGCAGGAAGGTGTGGGTAGGGAGAAGTGGTTAACTTACTTGGGAAGAAAACCCACGCCTGTAGGGCCAAAGGAATAGTGTCGGCCGGGTCTGGAGCGGGCAGACGGAGCCTCGCCCTGGGGAGTGCGGTGCAGGTGGGCTGTGCTTGCTTTGCTAAGGTCCCTGCTCACCACTCTGCTGCAGGCGTGTGCCGTTCTCGGGACAGTCTCCCTCGCAGACTTGCACAGGCCCCATCGAAACAGCATGGGCGGGCGATCCAGGTGTGTTGTTTTGTAAATGTATCATGATTTCCAAAGCACTGTCATTTAATATTCACTGAAGCCAGCCCTTAAATAGCAGTGGGCTCTATCCCTTTCTGGAGAGAGAGGAAGGCTAATTCCCGTCACCTTGGAGACCACAGAGGTAAGCTTACGATACAGGAGACGGGCCCTTCCCTGTCATCTGCTTAGACGGATGCTGAGACACGCGGGATCCTGAAGTCACTGGGAATGAAGTAGCATCCATTATATACGAAAGGGGAAGATTCTGTTCTGAGTTGCTCTCTTCAGATTTGCTGACTTCACATAAGCAGAATAGGTACTGTTTAGGAGTAAACCAAAGGACAGGCAACAGCGAGTCCCTGTAACCAAAGACGACAGCATGTCCTGGATAGCGGGCACTAAGCAATGTCTGTCCTGTGGGGAGGGGGCCTTGCATCTCCTCCATCACCTGCGGTAACATCACGGCTGTATGTAACTACACATGGCAGTCAGCTTGCCCGAATCCTTGATTTAGGCAGATATTTGCACTGCTTCACCCGTATCATGTGCAATCTCTTGACCAATCCTGTTTTTAAACCCTAGTACAGCATCGTTTTCTATGTATTCCCAGTTGCAGAATTACTATGGCTTATTTCAACAAAACAGATTGTTTGCATGAAAAATTAATAGCACTGATGAGCTTTCTAATATTTTGCACTTTTGAAATGTTTGTTTTTTACATGAGTATATTTAAAACTTTAGTAAATACTAAAATAAAATCATATTGACCAGTTTGTGTAGTTTTATCTGGCCTCGTCTGTCATAAAGAAATCAACACAGTAACCATTTTCTCTTCCTCTATTACCAAAACAAGTTTAAAAAATAAAAGTTCAGGGCATAACACTAATACTTAAGTTCTTTTCCTTGACTGTGTGTTTGTTGCCATAGGCAGACAGAGCTCAGAATTCAAAGCGCAGTAAATACCTTGACTGCCTTTTGGTATTCTAAATACTAGCCCCTGTTGCCCAACAGCAGGTGGCTCACTTACCTCGGATGGGGGTCCAGTGGGACTTGCGTGGACATCATTTTATTTGGATGACGCAGGAACACAATACGAGGTCCTGTTTCAGGCGCGATCACAGTCCAAGGGGATGCCTCTGCTTCTGATCCAGCTTCCTGCTGATTTAGCGCTCCCTGGGAGGCAGCAGTGACGGCTCAAGTACGCGGGCCCTTGCCATCCCCACGGGAGACCTGCAATAACGAGGGCTGGGCCAGGCTGAAGCCAGGAGTCCAGAATTTAATCCAGGTGTCCACATGGGTGGCAGGGACTCAAGTCGCAGGGCACTCGTGAGCAGAAGGCAAGAACTGGAGGCAGAGCCAGCCCTCAAGCCCAGGCACCCGGTGTGGTGTGCAGACACTCTGAGATGGTATCTAGGCGACCCATGCTGAACGCCTGCCCCAGAAAACTAGGTTTTTTTGATCGTTAACTCCAGCTTCTAGGGTGAAGTGGAGCCATGCGAAGGCTCCTTTGTGCAAACATCCTTCCAAGAGTGCCAATCTGAGGGAGCCAACGGAGTGCCGGTGGAGGCCTGTTGCCAGGTCCTTTGCCAGCTGGTGTGGGGCACAGTCACAGGGAAAGACCTTGGCTTGCATGACAGAGCAGGGACAAAACCGTGCCTGAGGCGAGGTGGCTCAGTGCTCCTTTCTATCTGGGATGGGATTAAAAAGGCAGGGACGTGTTTGAGAGACACTTTACTCTCCTGATGCTTACCACAGCCAGGGGCTGGGCAGACCAGGAGCCCAGAACTCTGGGTCTCCCACGTAGTTGGCAGGGTCCCAGTGCTGCTGCCCAGGGCACGCACCGGCAGGAGCTGGAGTCGGAAGCAGAGCCAGGACTCAAAGCTAGGACTCTTACGGGCTGAGGGCATCCCGAGCAGTATCCACTGAGGTGGATCCCACTTCGAGACGTCAAGACAGAAGCACCAGGCTGCTTCCGTGTGCTGGGAAGTACAGATCCGTCCTGGGATGGTTGGCGGCGTTGTGCACCGGTCAGCGGGGAGAACACTGCCTGTGGCAGACGCGGCAGAGCTGCCAGTCACGGATGCAGCCGTGTCTCCCTCGGTGCGGGGCCGTGGCCCTCCAGGTGGCTCGCTGGTTCTGAAGCTCACCTCGTTCCAGCTTGATGGTCTCTGTAGGCTGTTTTATCAGGATTGCCATTTTCATTTCGCTAAACACTGAGTCAAAACACAGCTTCAGTTAAGTATGCATATTAAGCCGTGTTCAGAGTGTACTAAATTAGACGTTTAAAAATCAATAACAAAATGCTGTGCACCCACCCATTTCCCCCCATTTCGAGTGTCCCGGAGGAAGGACTCCGCCCCATAGGATTTGCCTCTGCAAAAGCCTTGCTCTTATTAACGCAGCGCTCCTGAGAGCCTCTGGGCCACGGTGTGCCAGTGGCTGGGTCTGTGGCTTTTCTCTGAAGATACTGTTAGGATTTACTGTAACGATCAACTTTAATTATGTTTTCTTGAATTTTCTGCTTCCAAACAAAAATCTTAGGAGAGTGAGCTTGATTTGTAGGAGTGAACTGACCACTGAAGTCTGTTTTAAACATTTTCTTTTTTTTAATTTTGATTTTATTTATTTATTTGAGAGAGTTACAGTGAGAGGGAGAGACAGAGAGAAGGGTCTTCCGTCTGTTGGTTCATTCCCCGAGCGGCCGCAACGGCTGGAGCTGCACTGACCCAAAGCCAAGAGCCAGGAACTTCTTCCGGGTCTCCCACGTGGGTGCAGGGGCCCAAGCACTTGGGCATCTTCTACTGCTTTCCCAGGCCACAGCAGAGAGCTGGATCGGAAACAAAGCAGCTGGGACTTGAACCGGTGCCCATATGGGATGCTGGCGCTGCGGGTGGAGGATTAACCTACTGCACCATGGCGCCGACCCCTAAACATTTTCTTAAAGATGTAGTTTAATTTGAACCTGGGCTTCATACAATTGGAAAAATTAGGACATTGCTTTTAGGTAATGGAAAAGTTAACTTCTGTCTTACCTTCCACATAGCCATAAACGCAAACACTTAGTACAGGACCCAAGCCACACGCTCACTGGTTCATTAGTTGAACAAGTACTGAGCGTCTCCCCTGTGCCAAGGTAAAGTAAAACGGTGACTGGGACGCGGAGGCCTGCGGAGGCCCCGCTCTCCGTGGCAGGGTCGCGTCAGTCACAGCCGTGGGCACACGACTCGACGGGCACACGACTCCAGGGCTTCCCCGGCCCTGCCAGGCCCGGCCAGGGGCTGCCCCTCCCATCTCCAGAGAGGAAGCGCACAGACCCGCTTGGTGTCTTACCTGAGGCTAGTGTTTGGAACGCTGCTTCAGGACGTGGGGCAGGTAACTCCTGCTGTTTTAGTGCCCTCACCTACAGACACAGAAACGAGTCACGCTTCAGCGGGCCGCTGTGGGAGCCGCTGCGAGGCACCGGCACGGGTGTTTGCATGGCTGGAGCGGCTCCCGACCCGCGGGGTACTGGACAGGAGGGCGGCTCTTCCCGCTTCTGTGCCGTCACGCTCCCACCCCGCCGCGCTCCTGGCCTAAACCGCGACACGACGCGCGGCAGCAGCGCCCACCCCGCGTTCCCACAGGGAGAGGCCACTAAGCAGCCCCCGCGGCCTCCACAGCCTCGTGCCCCGCGCCCGGGGAGCACGCCCGGCTCTGGCAGACTGCAGTGACCCTGGCACGGCGGGCCAGGAGTGTTGCGGGCACACAGGGAGCTGCAGGGCGCACTGCAGGCGGGGTCGGGGCGGGGTGCCCTCCCGAGTGGGAGGGCGGGCTCCCCTCGCCTCCTCCCCTACCACCAGCGGCAGCGCCTGGGAGGGAGGCGGGACCGGCCAGGGCCACGCGGTGCTGCGCTCCAGGACTCCCAGCCGTGAGAACCTTGGCCACGGAGAGGAACGCAGTGACCGGAACCAGAACATGTCAGTCAGGAGTACAGCGCAGCAAGCGGCAGCCCGTGACCCTCAGCGGGGTCTCCCCTCGCGCCCGCTCGCGTGGTCTCACACAAGCAGCCCCCCCAGAGCTGGGCTCGGGGCCGCGGCGCCCACCTCCCACTCGCTCGCTCGCCCGGAGCTCTGACGCGCAGCGAGGGGCGGCGGGAGGGCAGCCCGTCCAGGCGCGAGCGCCAGCCCGCCAGCCTCACGGGCTCCGGGAGAGCCACGCCTCCTCAGCAGCGGAGGCGGGACCACGCAGGAGCGCGGCCGCCCGCGCCCGCACACCCGCGAAGGGGTCCAGCCCGCGGCGCGGTCCGCACGCCCACTTGGCCCCGAGTGACGCTGACGTGGCGGCCGGGCGGGGGCCGGGGCCGGGGCGGGCCAGACGCCCCGGGAGCGCGCAGCGCCAGCTGGCGGCCGCCGGGGGAACTGCAGGCGGCGAGGTGGGGCGCGCGGCAACCTGGTGCAGCAGGTCTCCTTTTGGGCTTTGACCAACCCACCAGCTGACGGCTGGGGACTTCACACCCCCCTACCCCCCTCCCCCCCTCCCCGGGGCCGAGAGCGGAACGCGAGCCTGGCTTTATGGGATCCGCATCTCTGGACATCAGGGCGGAAACTGGCTGCGTCATCCAGCCCCCGCTGCCTGGTGTGTTCCAACAGGGAGTTACAGGCAAAGAACAAGTCCGCGTATTTAATTTGGAACATACAGGACAATTTATTGAAGTCAGTCTCAAGCAAAATCTGAAATCAGTGGAATGTCATTAAAAACCTTTTCCAAATTAATCCTCACGGAAGCAAAAAACACATTTGAGTTCCAAAGTATTTGTAAAATAAAAAAGGCAACATCTCAGTAAATATAATAATGTACAAAAATTATGTTCCTACCAGCACGCACATCAGTAAGAAGCTTAAATATGACGAGCAATCCTAAAGACACTGTGTCTGATCGAGAAGCTATCTATGTACAGGTTAACCAAGCTTCACACGATTCACACTATGCAATAGAACATAGGCCAATCAACAAAATCCTCAAAATAGTATGCATCTGGAAGTCTATGCGGCAACATCAAGTCATCATACAGTAACGCCCTAGTGGGACATCCCCAGGGAAAATGAACACTAATCCCTTAGTGTCAAGAGCTTCTAGCCGAGTCACAGAAACTCAAGAGACTGGCTTTAGTGAATATTGACGCTATGTTAGTCAAGACTCAAGTCTCAAGTGATTTAGGCAAAATAACTTCACAGGATCTACAAAGCTCGTTACAGATAAAGTACAGAAATAACCATCTACAAAGGTCATTATAAAGAACAAGGGGAAACGAAAGGAATGTGTGGGCATCGGCTGTGCAGTGTCCCTCAGGTGGGTCAAGCCACTTTCTCATAGCTCCAAATGTGCACACCCCGTGCACACACCAGGAGGGTGACCACTGAGCCACTGGGTTATGGTGGCAACGTGCTTTCCTCAACACAGGCAAGTAAAGACAAAGGAAAGCCAATGGCATCGACTGACTCCGAGGGAAAGTTCATCCAGCCCACTTAACCGACCAGGAACCCCTTGGCAAGGCCCTGGGGGAGCCTGGTGCCCAGGCTGTCTTCCCTTTCCATTTGCATGCTAATGACACTGAGAGCCTCCCTGAGGACAGGCCACTCTCCCTCCTGTCCCTTCACACGCACCCAAACCTGTCACTCGGCAACGGAAAACACACACACACACACACAAACGGAAATGGTTTTTGACACACAGCATTTCAGGAGTGTAACGTAAGTGCAGTTAACGTTTCTGAACAGGTTTCTATTAGAAGGAAAGAGGAGGCGCCGGGTGCGGGGCTGACGAAGCAGCACGCACAGGAAATGACTGTGCAAACGCGGTGCACCTCCCGCAGCAGTCTCTGCCGTGAGCAGAACTTCGGCCCAGCTAGAGGCAAGAGACCAGGCTGCCTGTTTCCAGAACCGTCTACAGAACCATGCGTTCTACTTCATGAATTTATAAAGAAACCAAACGATAAGGGGAGCAGCTGAAGAGTTTCAAGTACTTAAAAAACCTGAATTCAACGAGGCAGAGGTCTCATGTTAAAGTGACTACTTCGTACCTGTGGAAAACCGCCCCCACGCCGCCCCGCCCCGCCCCGCCCCGCCCCGCCCCAGGTACAAGTTGCTGACATCTCAGCAGACGCATCGCCGACTTCTCACTGTCTCTCGGTCCATTGCAAAGCTGTCTAATTATACCTATTTCCTAGCCCATCTGACAACGGAAGCAATTTCGACGTTTTTGTCTGTTGGCCTGGGATGCGGGAGCCGGCAGCTCTCCGCCGTCCGTGCGGCGTGGACAAGCTCCCCAGCCTGTGAGGGGCCCGAATTGCCTTGTTTTCTCCTCCTGCAGGGCACGGCTCCCGGCAGGCAACGCCTTGATTTTGAAGGTGAACGCTAAGGGAAGAGCTCTGTCCTAAAGCGCCACTGGACGAGCGGCTGCGGATCCGTCTGCCAAGTGCAGGTCTGGCTTTGCCCCGGCGGGAACCTCTGCTGCTTCAGGAACCGCGGCCCAGCACGCCGGAGAGCACCGGGCAGGACCACGGGCGGCTGGAGGAGCGGCCTCCTTCCAGTTAGCTCCTGTTGAAGCTTCTCGGGTCCGCCCCGACTGGAACCCTAACCTCAGCTCAGGCCAGCTCATTTGTTAGGATGACAGCGTGGGAACCTCGCCGTGTGTGGCAGTGATGGGGCCTGGCCTCCCGCAGCCCCCGCACCCCAGGGAGGCAGGTGGCTGGCCCTGCCCCGCCAGCTCCTGCGGGCCTCCCCCCACCTGCCGCACAGAGCCTGCGAAGCCCCAGGGTTTCACCTCTAGCTCCTACGAACCCAGCTTTCTGGAGCTTTATGCTGATTACCCAAACTCTTAGGCTCATCTCTTCCTCCAAAGAATTAATTTGCGGTTAAAAAAAAAATACCACCATTATCCCATGCTGCTTCTAAGTTATTTCATTTTTCGGACAAGACTAAAAAGCCAACCACTTACGCTCTGACTGCGTACAGATTTACAGGTCAGCAAACACCAACTGCAGCCTGAGAGCGAGCGATGTGTCCTGGCGCATTTCGCTGGTGTGGCCGGGGCACGCGCTGCGCGTGCAGACTGGCGCTCCCAGGGAGCACAGCTTTGTTTGCTTCCACTGCCGCAACTCCCACACACAGAGGTCGATGCCGGCAGCCTGGAGTGGGGAGCGCTCCTTGGCACTGGTCAGAGTGGGCCTACTTTTTAGACCATTAGAGAGCATTCATGGACAAAGACTTCAGAGCCACGGTTATCTGTTTTGTGTTCTACTTCTGATTTCTGAAATGGCAGAGTGACTCTATTAATTCATCAAAAAAAAGGATTAAAAAAATTCAGCAGAGCTCTGTTACAGATATAAAAAACCAAAACGTGACACAATGAAGAAACTGCATAAAAATACTTAAACCTAAGGTATTTGCACTATACAGTATATACCCTGGCTTACCATATAAAAGTCATCAGATATTAAATTGCACTAAGTCCAAAACAAAGCAAGGAGATAAGATTTCATGTTGAATACTGTTTCAATAACAGTTGCATCTGGAATAGTAAAGGAAATCCTTATGTTAGTACATTTAAAAAACCAAACATTTATCTCATATATATATAAAATAAAATTTTAGTATGATAAAACCTAGATTTTCTTAAATTATTTTTCAAAAGGACATCAAACTATATGCTTGCTCAAGAGCAAAGGCTAGTGTTTCGGTGGGCGGCACTCCAGGGCGCTTGCAGCAGCGGGACTTGGTGGCGGGTAGCGCTTCCACTCTGCTCGCTGGGGCTGCATCTCACCACAGGTGCTGCGAGCCCAGCGTTCCCTTGAGAGTGCACTGCTGGAGCCAGGCAGGTGGCAGGCTAGGAGCTCGAGTGAGGGAGCTGTAGTGTTGTTTGATAAGGGAAAGTCCCGTGTAAGTGCACACTTACAAAGGAAGAGAGAGGCACAGAACAGCTTTTTTCTTCTTTCCAGAGAGGAGCTCTAGGTAAGAAAACTCAACGCACACGACCCAGCTGCAGGACGCAGCGGAGCGCCTGCCCTGCCCACCTTCCTGAGGTTACCAGGAACCTCCTGCGGGGCAGTCACTGGCGCTCGCCCCGGACTTGTGCTGGGTACAGAGCTCCACCGACGCCTGACGTGACCCAAGGTTTCATCCCAGGATTCTACTGGACTACGCATATCCTGAAGCATTCAATGCAGGAGTGTTTTGTGGGCAGACATCTGGGTATCCTGGAATCTGTCAGATTCAAGCATCTCAGGCAGCCATCTTGGCTAACACTGACTCTCGGGTGCTTCCTAAGATGGGGTGTGTTTGTGTGGCTCTAGGTACCCTGCAGAAGTAGCAGTTCTTCCCCTTCTTCAGGGAAGAAGGGTCTTCGTATTGGGGAATACAAAGCAGAAACTGTTTACAAATAACCTGGGGATGCTCCGACCGCTCCCATCCCCCTTGCCCCCAGTTCGGAGCACAACTAGAAAGATTTATTCAAATACAGAGCCAATTTGCATGTGTAGTTTCAGCAGGAAACATGCCCGATTGGGCGGGTCACAAAGGAAATGTTTCATTAGGAGAGGAAAACAGAGACAGGAAGAAAAATGCCCACAATTCTCTCCTAGTCAGACCAGGTCTCCGTGAAACTGGACAAGAAGCGGTGCTTCCGGGACCCAGCTTCTGGGTGTGCTGTCAGCTCCCTTCAGCTCCTTACCAGTGCGGCCGCTCCAACTGCGTGCTCACACCCACATCAGCGCACTCGCTGGCCACGGGAAACCTTTCAAACCCAGGAAGCACACCAATTGCTTTTTTCTTCCCAACCAAAAACGTACAGGAACACCTTCTGAGGTAAAGTGACCACATCATGAGGCTCGCCCAGGGTACGACCGCCCAGGGGAAATCCACCGAGGTGTTTGCTTTCGAGAGGCCAGGCTGCAGACTCCCACAGAGCCCTCCTCTGAGACTGGGGCCGACGTGGGGAAGGGAAGAAGTTAGCCTACCTACTGTTCAGTAAAGAGGTATATAAAGGTTAGCTCACCCTTCTCTAGAGGGCTGTCTCTGACTCCTACTGGGAACACGCACACACATACACTGATTAGACTATTTCAACTACACTTCTCTTGAGTTCCTAAAATGAAAATAAATAAAGGAATGATGGCTACTTTTGCTTTATACAACCGAGGAACAACACGTCTTAGACCAGCAATCTATCTCATCAGCAAAGCTTCCCTTCTCTTTGTTCTTATTTGAAAAGCGAAGACATCTCTTTCTCCAGCTGCAAAGGCATTGAAGCACAACAAAAGGCAAGGAAAAAGCCAAGGGCATTTCACCCTCCACAAAAGAATCCCCAAACCAACACCTCGAAACAGAAACCAGACCCCCATCGCTTCTGCCTGCATGAACCAGTTTCCTGTTTTCACATTAGTAAGGCAGTTCCGATGGCAAAGGCTGCACGCGCTGTAGCAGTCTCTTCTCTTTGTAAAAAGCATCATCTACTTGCTTTTCTCTTTTCCCTTTTTTCCCCTTAAATAAGGAGGGGAGGAGATGCCCAGTGATCTATTCTTTCACTTCTTCTCCGTGGTCTTGTGACTCCCGCTTACACCTGATCTTGCTCCAGTATTCTGCCGACACGGGGGCCACGGGGTCGTGTTCCGAGCAGCAGAGGCGGCCTTCCAGCGCGGAGGCAACCAGAGCCCCCTGGTCGTGATCTTTGCAAAACGAATGCGGACAGAACTCACAGAAGGACACAGCTGCAGCGCTGCACTGGTCGCACTGATGCCACGGGCACTCCCACTTTCCTGATGGAGGGACAAGCGCCTCAGTTAGTGCCTGGCAACAGCCCTGAAAACCGAGTCCCCACTCCGTGTCTGATGGCAGACGGAGTTCAGTGCATTCCACTCTCCACATCAGCCACGGATACTGTGTGTGCTCCTTCGTAAGGATGGCAGCCACTGGCCTAACCCCAGCGCCACAGCTGCCCTGCTATGGTAGGAGTAAGTTAGAGACTGATCCTGGCCGGCCCACAGACGACCCCAGATTTGCAAGGCGACAGCTTTCTACCTGGCCTGAGTTTTGTGTGCCATCGTCTGTTCTGTTCAGGGTCTCCCACTCCACAGCTCTCCCGAGGAGAGGGGAACATGCGTGGAGTCATGCCAAGGTGGCTGGGACACACACCAGAGAGGGGTTAGTCCAAGCTCGCTCTTACCGTATGGTGGCTGAGTCAGGTTAAGGCATAGGAGGTGGTACGCTTTGGGACAGTCTTTTTTGTCACACATGACCAGCTCCCCACCGTCTCCACACTGAAAACAGTAGTCTTCGTGCATCTGCTTTGGTTCTGTTTTGATTTTTCGCCTCTTCTGCTTTAGCTTAGCGTTTTTGGCCTTTTCCTCCGTTGTTGATGCACACGCCGACTGCAGGAGAAAGGGACCACGCACAGTACGTGAGGCTGTGCCCAGGAAGGGAGCCCCACGGACTCTGCTCGTTGAAATTCCTGCTGTACGGCTACCAAGAAACACCTGGAGGACCTACGCTTTAACAACACTGGACTAAAGCCAAGGCTGCGTGTTCATCCCCGGGTGAACAGGGTGTTTTTATTTTCATTTTTTTAAAATTGCAAGGGTGGTGATAAATCCAAGCAAATTTAACCTATTGATGTTCAGACAACATGTGAACTTTCTAATTGGGATATAACTCATACTTGACAAAATTCACTATTTTACAATGCATGTAATTCAGTGGTTCTTACTATATTGTTGACAGTTTTTTTCTTAAGATCTATTTATTTATTTGAAAGGCAGAGATACACAAAGAGAAACAGAGAGAGATTTTCCATCTGCTGGTTCACTCCCCAAATGGCTGCAAGGGCTGGGGCTGGGCCAGACTGAAGCCAGGAGCCAGGAGCTTCTTCCAGGTCTCCCACGTGGGTGCAGAGGCCCAAGCACTTGGGCCATCCTCCACTACCTTCCCAGATGCATTAGCAGAGAGCTGGATTGGAAGTAGAGCAGCCAGGGCTTAGCCTACTATACCACAGCGCCAGCCCCTCTACTGCCGACAATTAAAAAAAGTTTTAAAGGAGGTCTTGCCTAATGCAAATTTGACCAGAAACACATCTTATTAAAGTAGGTGCCGGCCGGTGCCACAGATCACTTGGCTAATCCTCCACCTGTGGTGCCAGTACCCCAGGTTCTAGTTCTGGTTGGGGCACCAGATTCTGTTCTGGTTGCTCCTCTTCCAGTCCAGCTCTCTGCTGTGGCCCGGGAAGGCAGTGGAGGATGGCCCAAGTGCTTAGGCCCTGCACCCACATGGGAGACCAGGAGGGAGCGCCTGGCTCCTGGCTTCGGATTGGCATAGTGCACTAGCCACAGTGTGCTGGCCATAGCGGCCATTTTGGGGGTTGAACCCAATGGAAGGAAGACCTTTCTCTCTCTCACCATCTAACTCTGTAAAAAAAAAAAAAAAAAAAAGGTGCCACTGGTAGGTGAGAGCCTGGACCTGGGGAAGCCCTGTGGGCTGGCAGGAGCACATGAGGGGCGCGAGAAGGAGGCTGGCTGCCCCCGCACAACTCACCTTTGGCCGCACTCCCAGGAAGCCGCTGCAGTTCTCGGCCCCGCAGTGGCACTCGGTTCTGCCATTGCCCAGACAATCCAGGTTGTAATTAAATGTTAGCTCCATCCCTGAAACATCATTGAGACAGATCATTACCCCATGAGAGTGGCGAGGAAGAGACCCAACTCCAGCAGGAAGACTTTTCCCACCCCCAGGTTCCCAGTCATTGGAAACAGTGATGGGGAAGAAAGCAAAGGTGGAGGGGGGAAGGGGGGTAAAAAAACCTTGCAAGACAACAGCTCTGCCCACGTGCATTACCGCAGCGCTTTCCTAAGAAGCAATCCCATCTGGCGCCACAGGGTCAGGACCCACAGTTTGCAATCTGTGCTCACGAAGGCAAACTTCTACCTTAGCCCTCTTTTCCAGAGTGACTTCATTCCAAAGCCACTGCAGGAGCTTCTCAATAACGTCTGACCACAGAGCTGTGGTCATCCTGTCTAGGAATCAATGCTCTCTCTCAGGATCACATAACAGTTCAACACAGAGGGTACTGCGTTTGCCAGAGACCAAGGGGTCCCGGCCTGGGGCTCCTCAACTTTTTTTTTTTTGTAGCTGGGCTTCAGCAATCCACACTGAGTTCTAGAAACAGTTTTTATTTATTAATTTATTTATTTTGACAGGCAGAGTGGACAGTGAGAGAGAGAGAGAGACAGAGAGAAAGGTCTTCCTTTTGCTGTTGGTTCACCCTCCAATAGCTGCTGCCAGTGCGATGCGGCCAGCGCACCGCGCTGATCTGATACTTATCCTGGTCTCCCATGGGGTGCAGGGCCCAAGCACTTGGGCCATCCTCCACTGCACTCCCGGGCCATAGCAGAGAGCTGGCCTGGAAGGGGCAACTGGGACAGAATCCAGTGCCCCGACCGGGACTAGAACCTGGTGTGCCGGCGCCGCAAGGCGGAGGATTAGCCTAGTGAGCCGCGGTGCCAGCCTCTAGAAACAGTTTAAATCTGGTTTAGCCACAGCATTGCCCTTCACAAAGGAGAGGCGTGCTTTGCTGCTGGGACACTAGATGGGCGAGGGAAGGCGACAGCAGCAGCTCGGGCTTCACAGGCTTCTCGGGTCTCATGCAAAACAGAAGGATCTTTCCAAGCACATCTCGGAAAACCAAGGAGCCGGCGGGTGGCAGCACATGTTTCACAGAGCAGACAACAGCTAGAACATCTGACTACCTTCTACAGACGACAGTACCCAGAGAACTCAGTGTGACCACAGATGCTCAGATCCCGGAGCAGCCTCTCTCACGTGCAGGCTCCTGCTCAACCCCCTTAGAGGACGGAGACTCTTCCCTCCTGGCACACAGCGCTCAATCCTAAATCTACCACACGCGCTTGGTGCGAATCCAGACACGGGTACTGCCCCTCCAGGAGCCCTGGGCAGTCCCGGCAGCACAGGCTTGCCTCCTTGGGAGGGGCCGTGGGGAGAAAGGTACTTTCTTACCTGCAGGAATATCACAAAGAGCGAAAAGTCCGACTCGGACGTCTCCGTTCACCGTCCACTTCTGTGTTTCACAGTTTGGATTACAACTGTGGTTCATGAAACGAGAATAATTTCCTTTGGGGCCAGCATCAATGATCCGATCCTTCAGAAAGGAGAGACAGGGGCCTTTGCCGCAAATGGAACGTGAGGCTGCCTCAGCAACACCCAACCAGGCAAGGGCCGTGAGGCCACACGGCCCCCAGCTGACGTGCCACGGTGTGGCGCGCCCAAGAGACGCGACGAGGTGGTCTACGGTATATGATGACCCGCAGGCCAACACCATCAGGGCAAGCCAGGTTTCTTTCTCAGTTTGCTTCTAGAAACAGACCCTAGAATACTGCTGCTTGGAAAAGGAACAGGGATGGCGTTTTCTGATTAGAGGACTCCAAGTTCAGCTACCTAGTCAGGTTTGTGTGGGCAGCTCTTTTCTGTTCTAAGCAAAACCAGTGTGCGGGTGGACAGATCAGAGCACAGGTCATCAAGGGAGAAGGAGAAATGAGAACCTGCTCCCCTTGAGGGTGCTGGGAGAGCTGCTTGACAGGAGGGCTGCCGGGCAGAATCCGGCTCCAGCAGCCACCCGCCCACTTTGTTCTTACAGACACTAAACTTCAAAGAGCAGCCAAGGGCTCCCTGCCTGGGCCCCTGGCTGTGAACTCTGATCCGCTGGGCTCCAGCGGGCAGACGCGCCTTAGAGCTGCTGCTGGCTGCGGGAGCTGCGCCTCAGCGAGCCAGACGCCAGCGATCACGGAAGCCGGCACTTCATCTTCAGGAAGATGTACCAGCCTAAGCCCTTCACTGAATGCCACGACTCAGTGTCAGACGGCCTGGAACTCGGGAACACAGGTTATCAGCCTTGGCTCTTAACACTGTAATGAGATGTGCCGCCAATCACTTATCATGGCTGGACCTCGAGTTTCTGAATTGTCCTCTGAATCAGAGGACTATCCAAGCAATTAAGTGAGCTGGCGGGCGCAGCATGCAACCCCAGGTGCCGAGCTGGTAGTTTGCTGTCACTTTTCTTAGGCTGGCACTCATTATGCTCTTAGCTCATTTTTTAAAAAAGCTTAAATGCACAGAACAATGGAGAGTTTTACGCCAGCCATACTTTAGTGCTCGTTTATAACACAGAATCACAGAGCTGACTCTCCTTCTATGATAAACAGGCCCGTGTCTTCCAGTGACTAAGAGCTGGGACTAAAATCCAGGAGTGCTATCTCTTCATTCAGTGCCATCTCACATGATATGTGTGCGGCTTCAAGAAATTATTGATTGCGTGTAATTAATTAGTACATTATGGTGGGCAGCACATTGGCTACTACAAATCATTATAATTTGCCTGAAAAAAATAAAATTAAAGGAAACTGAATTCAACCTAAAACCATGAGACAAGAATTCAAAATCCCCTTTTCTTACAAAAACAAAAAGCAATTTTACCTTGGTAACAGTTAACATATAAAAATTAGTTACACTGTTCTCGTGGGCTCGCTTGATTCGTAATCTGCATTCTTCTTCATCAATTAATTCTCCAACATATTCATTTACAAATTCACCCTGCAAAGAAACGTGCAACATGAAACTGCAGAATTGGTGAATTATATTAGCACATTTATAACAATGTGTGTATAACCCACGACAACCGACGACAAAGAACCTTGAAAATATAACTCCACCCCTAAAAGTAAATGGTTCTTATTTATCCATGGGCACCGTTCTTTGTTGATGTGCCTCAAAAGGTGAGGAAGTGCCGCCTCTTCGTGATGACAATACTATCCCCACAGTCCACTGTACAGGGGTCCAGGATGAAGCTAATGCCAGTCTTTGAAGCTTTGTTGTAAGAAAAGTCTACTAGGGGGCTGGCATTGTGGCATAACGGGTAAAGCCCCAGCCTGCAGCGCCAGTATCCCATATAGGCACTGATTCAAGTCCCGGCTGCTCCACTTCCAATCCGGCTCTCTGCTAGGGTCTGGGAAAGTAGTGGAAGATGGCCCGGGTGCTTGGGCCCCTGCACCTACATGGGAGACCTGGAAGACGCTCCAGGCTCCTGGCTTCAGAATGGCGCAGCTCCGGCCATTGGGAACATTTGGGGAGTGAACCAGCAGATAGAAGACCTCTCTCTCTGCCTCTCTGTACTATAACTCTTTCAAATAATAAATAAATATATATTTAAAAAATAAAATAGAAGAGTCTACTAGAGAGCTGGCGCTGTGGCGTAGTGGGTAAAGCTGCTGCCTGCAGTGCAGCATCCCAAATGGGCGCTGGTTCGAGTCCCGGCTGCTCCACTTCTGACCCAGCTCTCTGCTATGGCCTGGGAAAGCAGTAGGATGGTTGCAGCCATTTGGGGGGTGACCCAGTGGATGGAAGACTTCTCTCTGTCTCTGTCTCTCTCTACCTCTGCCTCTCTAATAAATAAATAAATCTTAAAAAAAAAAGAAGTCTACTAGTTTATAGCTTTAGAAGGTTAGGGGTGAGACCTCGGAAGGATCTGTACCTGAAACAAATGAGCTGCTTTTGTTTAACATTTTTTTGAGTCATCGTATTCACAGGAAATTGCGAAGGTGGGCCAGGGGAGATCTTCATGCCCTTCCCTCCCTTTCTGCCTGTGGTGGCATCTCCCAGGAGGACAGCACCGCAGCAAACCAGTGGGTCCCACCAGCAGGAAAATGCACAGGCACACCCAGGCTGCACGCTGCACCAAGCTACACGGGCTCGTGTGTGTGCGTGCAGCTCCACGTGTTTACCCGCTGGGGCACCATCAGGCAGCGCGGCTGTCCTTTACCACAGACACCCCTGGTCACTGCTCTATCGTCACCCTGTCCTCAGCCCATCTCCGCCCCTGGTGACCACACATCTGCTCTCCAGTGCTGTGCTGTGCCACCACAGTATGAAACCATCTGAAAAACTCTTGAGCTATGCTGGTGCTGTCGTTATTTTTCATGTTAGCTGTCTGAGTAGGTGGACAGTGAATCTCCTTTCAAAATAAGAGTGAATATTACATGTCAAAGTTTGTGTGTATGTTGTATAATCACTAAGCTTTTCACCTCAAAAGCATTACTGACTCAACCCAGGACGACACTTGTCACTGTTGTCAGTAGACTCTGGAGGGAAAGGAACGTCCTGACAAATAGACTTCTGTCCCACTGTCTCCCACCCCTGCCCCCTTCGTCATGCCCTCTCCACAGCTCCTGTGACTCTGGTTACTTTGCCAGATCTCTGCACCATCTCGCCCATGACTCCTTTCTTCAGTAGCTGCTAGGTCCCAGAACTGCTGACAGCAGATATCAGAAGAGAAGCACTAAGTCCTATTCTCTGAGTTTGGTTATTTCTCCAAGAACATAAGCCAGTGTTCCTACACACGTACGTTCACAGGGCTTCCTCTATTGATAAAAACAGATCATTACTCCTCTATGAAGAGGTGAGACACGGGTGAGTACAGCCTGCCTTGCACTGGCACAGCTGCATGTGTGTGTTGTGTCAGCCAGGAGTGGTCACAAACACCTCGGACTGCTTCCCCCAGTTTTACTTACTGTCCAAGCTGTGACAAAGAATTAAGTTAGGAAAGGGACAATGTTTCATCTCTCGCTGCTACACCAGACACGGAACAGTTATTTTCTCCACTTTCTCTTCTAGCTTTTTCTCAGGGAGGACACAGGCAGTCCTGTCCATTTGTGTAGCACATGCCAACGGCCTCAGTGGTCCCACCTCCCTCCAGGCTGGACTTTGCCTCCAGCCGCGGACAACGTCAGCACAAGTGCATGGTATGGCTGCCTCAGCGGCACGGCCACCCGCCAGAAGTATGCTCCCCTACCTCATGGCAGTGTCAAGGAAACAGAGAGAATTTCAACCAAATCAGCTCCACTTCATTTTTTTTCACACATTGCGACTCAAGGTGAGACTGCATTTGCAGACATGGTCTTGTGGCTTTAAAAGCTCTATAACCATCTATTATATAGATTATATAGTTTGTATTTCCAGCTCTGAAAATGAGTGAATACAGGAGTGTTGATATCAGATATGAGGTATGCAAGTCTCATAAGCTGGACACCACTGTAAATGAGATGGAAATAACCCTAGAAGGGACAGATCTATAGCCTCAAAGAGTTCCTGGGTGGATTTACAGCCTTTAACTGTGGATACTGCTGTCAACAAAAACAACAAACTAAATAATTTCAGGGGCTGGCGCTGTGGTGCACAGGGTTAAAGCCACAGTCTGCAGTACCAGCATCCCTTATGGGCACCAGTTCAAGTCCCAGCTGCTCCACTTCCAATCAGCTCCCTGCTAATGCTCCTGGGAAAGCAACAGAGGATGGCCCAAGTCCTTGGGCCCCTGCATCCATGTGGGAGACCTGGAAGAGCCCTGGTCATTGTACCCATTTGGGGAGTGAACCAGCAGACAGAAGATCTCTGTCTTTCCTCTTTCTAACTTTGCTTTTCTTTTCTTTTTTTTTTTGACAGGCAGAGTGGACAGAGAGAGACAGAGAGACAGAGAGAAAGGTCTTCCTTTTTCCATTGGTTCACCCCCCAATGGCCGCTGTGGCCGGCGCACTGTGCTGATCCGAAGCCAGGAGCCAGGTGCTTCTCCTGGTCTCCCATGCAGGTGCAGGGCCCAAGGACTTGGGCCATCCTCCACTGCCTTCCCGGGCCACAGCAGAGAGCTAGACAGGAAGAGGAGCAGCCGGGATAGAATCTGGTGCCCCAACCAGGACTAGAACCTGGTGTGCCGGCGCCGCAGGTGGAGGATTAGCCTTTTGAGCCGCGGCGCCAGCCTCTAACTCTGCTTTTCAAATAAATAAATAAATCTTAAAAAAAAAAGAAAAGAACCTAAAAAATGGTAGAGATCTGTAAGGACTGCAACAAAAAGGCTGTAATCTGATTTTTAACATTAAAACATTTCTCAGAAAGAACCCACTTCCCAACATAAGTCTCTGTTTACTTCTGGCATGAACCTTCAGGAATCTGGTGTGTGTGAAAATAAGTGACTGACCATGGTCACTCAATCCCATTTTGGCCTCCTTCCCGTAAATGAACCAAGAATCCTTCTTGTCCTTATGATTATGCTTTCCAATGACTGTGTATCTGTAGCTATCTTGTAAAAGACCAATTGTCTTACATCAGCAATCCCTCAAAGGGCAAAAAAAAAAAAAAAAAAAAAAAAAATCCAGACTGCATTTTCTTTTCTCTTGACATCACTAACTTGGTAAATTATACTTTAGAATACATTTTAGAATCAGTGTGACTAATATTTAAAGGTGTTATAATACTAAACTGGATAGATTTCAGATGGCTTCATAAACACCCAAAGCAAAAAAATGTATGTGTGAGGCCGGCGTGTGGCTTAACAAGTTAAGTCACCGCCTGCGATGCTGGCATCCCTTATGGGTGCTGGTTCATGTCTTGGCTGCTCCACTTCCGATCTGGATCCCTGGGAAAAGCAGAAGACAGCCCAAGTACATGGGCCCTGCACCCTTGTGGGAAAACCAGAAGTTGTTCCTGGCTCCTGGCTTTGGCCTGGTTCAGACCCGGCCATTGTGGACATCTGGGGAGTCAAACAGTGGATGGAAGATCCCTCTCTCAGTCTGCCCCACTCTCTGTAACTCTTTCAAATAAATAAATCTTTTTTAAAAAGTATGTGATAAGTACAGCATTAATATCACTTTTTGCATTATATAATATTTTAAGTGTTGTGGACATTTGACCCCAATCCACATAACCAATGCAACAGTAAATCCCATTTTTTTTTTTTTTTTAATTTGAGAGGTAGAACTACAGACAGAAAGAGGGAGAGACAGAGAGAAAGGTCTTCCATCCGTTAGTTCACTCCCCAAATGGCTGCAATAGCCAGAGCTGGGCCAATCCAAAGCCAGGAGCCAGGAACTTCTTACAGATCTCCCACGCAAGTTCAGGGGCCATCATCTTCCATTGATTTCCCAGGCCATAAGCAGGGAGCTGGCTTAGAAGAGCAGCCAGGACATGACCCAGCACCTATAGGGGTGTCAGTGCTGCAGGCAGAGGCTTAGCCACGAGTGCCAACCTCTTGTTCTATCTTTAAAATACTGTAAGTTCAGCCTCTTCACTCCTATTTACCTACAATCCAGGGCCACTCCAACTGTCTCCTTTGTATCACTTTCCCCTTCTTCTAAATTCTCCCTACTATAATGGGCACACCACACACCCTCCTGAAACCCAGGCACGGCAGACAGACTCTGCTGTTCATGCCATTGTGTAACTGATCCCCTCTCGCTGAATGTGTGAGGCCTCTAACCAACAGAACACGGCCAAGGTGATGGGATGTGTGACACACAAAACTCTATGTATCTGTCTTGCTGGAGTGATTCTCCCCTGCTGGCTGGAAGCAAGCAGCGATGTTGGAAACCCCTTGAGGCAAGGAACTGCAGGCAGCTTCTAGAAGCTGACCAACAGCAAGAACAACAAACACAGCCCACAACAACTGAAGCTCTCAGACCTACAGCTACAAGGCAGAGTGCTGCCGACAACCATGCCACCAGGGAAGCGGATCCTTCCCAGTGAGTCAGAAGATGCGAACCCAGCCCTGGTGCACACCTTGACAGAAACCTGCGAGACCCTAAGTAGGAGACCCAGCTAAGCACTGCCCGGATTCCTGACCCTATAAACTGTGAGACAATAAAAATGTGCGTTATGTTTCCAGCTGCCACCTGTGCGGCGATACTGTCAGGCACCAGCAGCTGACAGACACATCAAGTGAGAGCCCATCACTGCACACTAAAGTGTTCCAGCAGTTTCCCATCCCATGGCCCATATGCTCCACACAATCTGGGCCTCGCTACCCTTCTCACCTCCTTTCCTACCCCACCCCTCTGTGTCACTCTTCTCTGGGGGCTTCCTCGCTGTCCCTGGAGCATGCAGAAGCACTTGTACTTGCTCTTCCTTCCTTCTGGAAGGTCCTCTCCCTTACAGATCTGCAAGCTTTCCACTGCACACATTCAGGGCACTGCCTCAGGCCCTCCTCGACCAATCACTTACACAGCAAGCCTTGTCACCGCCTTTCACAGGTTTCTTCTCCTTTGTAGCATTTAGCAGGACTCAAAATTCTATCTATCGTCTTTCTCCTCTAGCAGATACACAAGTAAGAATTTACCTGTCTTGTTTATTATTTTTTAAGTACCTAGAATAGTTCCAGGCACATAGAAGCAGCTTAACAAATGTGTACTGAATGAATGAATTTCAAACTAAGCAAACTGGCAGACAATGAAGAATGTTCATTGCACACACACACACACACACACCATGAGAATGGGTAAATTATGCTCATTTTACTATGGACTATAGTGAAACTTTCAAAAAGAATGAGACCTCCATACATACTGTCACAGAAGTGTACTTATGACATCTTGTTTAGATGGAAGGACAGTGTATGTGTGGTAGCATTTGTTTAACAACACCTAAAACTGCAGAGTGCAGAGATGTGTTATTTGTGTTTGTCATTGCAGAGAAAAATTCTAAAAGGCCGAGGAGAACAGGAACTGAAGGGATGAAGGAGGAGTTTCACTCTACTAACTTTTTTGGTATTGTTTGATGTTCCTGCATTAGATTTTTTTTTTCTTTAATTACAAAAGTGATTTTTTTTAAAGGTGGAAAAATGTCAACAATAGTTTAAATTCCCACTATCTCCACCTGCTTCCAGTGAGTGCACCTCCAAGTTCTATAGAGCAGCTGGCTCAAGGCAAGGAAGCACGGGGCTGGGGGGCTGGGGAAGGGACCTGTTTTAAAATACAGGTTAGGGGTCAGTGTTGTGGCGAGGGGGGTTAGCCCACTGCCTGCAATGCCCACATCCCATATGGACACCAGCTGAAGTCCCAGTTGATCCACTTCCAATTCAACTCCCTAAGAATGCCCCTGGGAAAGCAGCAGAAGACAGTCCAAGCGTTTGGGCGCCTGCTACTCATGTAGGAGACCTGGATGAAGCACTTGGTTCCTGGCTTTAACCTGGCCCAGACCCAGCCATTGAGGCCATCTGGGGAGTGAACCAGTGGAGAGAAGATCTCTGTCTTTGTTTCTAACTCTGCCTTTAAAATCAGTAAGATAAGTCTTTCATTTAAAAAAATACAGGTTATAAGGGTTTGAAGTTGAGGCAGGTTAAGCTTCTACCTGCAACGCCAGCATCCCATATGAGTGCCAGTTTGAGTCTCAGTTGTTCCACTTCTGATCCTCCTCTCTGCTGATAGCCTGGGAAGGCAGCGGAAGACAGCCCAAGTGCTTGGGCGCCTGCCCCCATGTGGGAGACCTGGATGCAGTTCTAGGCTCTTGGCTTTGGCCTGGCCACAGCTGTTGTGGCCACTGGGGAGTAAACTAGCCTTTCAAGTAAATAAATATAAAAGTAAATAAATAAATAAACAGAGGTTATTCCACAGCTGTGCCAGATAATCTAATTCAGCAAAACACTTTTAACAAGGACCACAGCAGATTCGAGGCATTCTAAACTTGGAGAGACACTGAAAAGGAGGATTTACTGGACATTTTCATTTTTCTTCCAACTTTTTTGCATTGAAGTTTTTTTCTACAATGGGCATGCATTTCTTATGTTAAGCAAAAAGAATGGTTTGAGAAATTCTCTTGGGGCCGGTATTGTGGCGTAGCAGATTAAGCTTCTGCCTGCAATGCCAGCATCTCAAATGGGTGCCAGTCCGAGACCTGGCTGCCCCAGTTCCAGCTCCCTGCTAATGCGCCTAGGAAAGCAGCAGAAGATGGTTCACTTCCTTGGGCCCCTGCACCCCCATGGGAATCCTGGAAGAAGCTCTTGGCTTCTGGCTTTCGCTCGGCCCAGTCCTGGCTGTTGAGGCCAATTGGAGAGTGAACTAGTGGATAGAAGATCTCTCTCTCTCCCCCCTCCTCTCTCTATAACTCTGCCTTTCAAATAAATATAAAATAAATCTAAAAAAAATTCTCTTGAAGCATACATTTTCCAATTGCTTTTGCATACATAATCTGAGACTTGCAGCAGCCTGTAATTATGTAGGGCAAGGAATGTTACTGTTAGTGCATGCCCATTTTAGAGATGAGGAAACGGAAGAGACTTGGCTATGGTTTCATGGCTGATGGATTCTGATGATGGAGCAAAATCTTTTGGTTTGTTAATTTGTATCCAAGTACATTCTTTTTTATTTTTTTAAAGATTTATTTTATTTCTTTGAAATGCAGAGTCAGAGGGGATGAGTGAGGAGAAAGACAGAGACAGGTCTTTCATTAGCTGGTTCACTCCCCAAATAGCTGAAATGGCTGGGGCTGGATCAGGCCGAAGCCAGCAACCAGGAGCTTCTTCTGGGTCTCCCATGTAGGTGCAGGGGCCCAAGGACTGAGGCCACCCTCTGCTGCTTTTCCAGGTGCATTAGCAGGAAACTGAAGCAGAAGTGGTGCAGCTAGGACTTGAACCAGCACCCACATAGGATGCTGGCACTGCAGGCAGTGGCTTAACCCACTATGCCAGCCCCCAAGCACACTCCTTAAATATTTATTTATTTATTTGAGAAGCAGAGAAAGAGAACCAAAGAGAGAGAGATCACATGGGAAAGGCGGCTATCATCTATCTGCTGTGCTCCCCAAGTGTCCCCAAGAGCTGGGGCTGGGAGAGGCAGAAGCCAGGAGCCTGGAACTCAATTAGGGTTTCCCACGTGGGTGGCAGGGACCCAGTTACTTGAGCCACCACTGCTGCCTCCCAGGCACATTGGCAGGAAGCTGGATCAGGAAGCAGAGTAGTCTGGACTGGAACCAGGCATTCCCATATGGAATGCAGGCATCCCAAATGCTGGCTTAACCCTTTGCGACACAGTATCCACCCCTGGGAATACATTTCTTCACTTGACTACTTTGCTTTCATTAATACCTTTAAATCGTTTTGCTTAAAAAGTAAAAAGCAAAGATTTCAAAGAGAAAATTACCAAAGACCCTTTTCCTTTATATGAATGATCACAGGAACCCCTTCATCAGGTCCGTTTGATTACTCTCCTCTTCCTACGACTTCTTTGCTCAAGAAGTGGCAAACTCTCAACAGGGAAAGTCTCAAAACAGGGCCATAAATCCCTTTCTATTCCTGCCCTACAATTACACCCTATGGGAAGCAGCCCTGAGAAGGCCACGCTCTGGTGGACCCCACCCCACACCATCCCCACCCGTGCTACCTTCTTAATGCTCCTTTTGGTCCTGAGGCCCCAGCCTCTGCGCTCTGTCTTGATAATCTCTGCGTCGGGGTACAGCCTCTTCGTGAAGCACTGGTTCTGACAGCGCTCTCCGGCTGGGCACACCTGCGGGTGGCACTCATACTGCAGCATCCTGTTGAGGCACTGGGACTCCAAGCCGCAAGGGTTCTCATCAGCGGGCTTGCAGTTACAGCGGGGGATCTCCGACAGGTCAGCAACTTGGATCTGCACCTTGCCGATGACTTTGTTGGCCTAGCAGACAAGGGCATAAATGAGGGAGGCAGGCAGAGGTGAGTGATCTATCAGCATTTTGTTTACAAACACGGGACACGTCCATGCTTTTCCTGTCTCTGCTACTGCCTTGTGATGTGGCTTTGGGAAAGCCTCCATGTCTTAGTTTCCCCTCGAATAAGAGTAATAACTCTCCTCAGCTGACAGACACATCAAAGCCTGATGTGAATTCTCACTGTTCACCCTGTGTCTCTCTCCTCCCACTAGGTGATAAACAGGAAACTGCGCTGGCCTGAGGGCGCCCCGTGTCCTCTCACTGCAGGATAACCCAGCAGAAAAAGAACACGTCCTGCTCCCAGGCCCAGAGGCCGGCAGAGACCCAGCCCTCACCGCACAGCATCCATGCTATCCACGATGCTGCCAACAAAAGCTCGGCCTGTTTTATAAGGTCTGGGCAACAACCAGCAAACGTTTTCTAAGTCAAAGCTTAGAACTACCAAGTAACTACCAAGGAAGGAGTGCATCTTGTGCAGTCTATGGAACACAAATGTTTTCACAGAAGACTCACTTTGATGTGTTTGTAAGGAGGAGGTTTTCTTGAATTTTTTTCAATCTCTAGTGCTTCTTTACTTTCTCTTTGTGCTTTCAATTCTTGGAAACGTTTTGCAGCTTCTTCCAGTGCTGCCAACAAGACCAAACAGAGTATATAAATACCAAATAGAAACAGAAACTGTCAGGGTGGTGCTCTGCATCCAACCCGAGCTTTTGAATTCTGTTCCAGAAATGACCATTTCCAAGCATGAGAGGGCACCAAGGACACTGACCCTCACCCACTGACCACTGGTCCGTGTGTGCCGCTGCCTCAGCCATCAGAGACCTCCACGGTCTCACCTCGCACTAGACAGACTGGAGTTCATCTTGCTCTTACGAAGCCAAACTTCCTGGCAACTCACTGCAAAAGCATTTGCAAGGCTCTTCATGGGAAGTTTTACCACTCCACTGCGGCAAGAGAACTCAATTAAGAAGACTATTCCCGGAAGACTCTCTGATTACAGAAAGATCACTGACGCAACTCCTTCCACATTCCGGCGCGCTGGAACGGACCTCACACCTGGTTCTAACGTGACTGGAAGTTTATGGCTGCAGGATCCAAACATGTGGTGAGGAGTCTTTAACAGCAGAGACAGGCCACAGGCAAGCTAGGAGACGCTGAGAAATGAACCGTGCAGTCTCAGCTTTGAACCTGAAACTGTCAGCCAACGTACCTTTTTTGAAGGTCTTGTTGATACTAGTCTGTCCCTCAGCAAAGCTTTTGTCTCCTTCAACGTAAGGGAACACTCTGCCCTGGTGCACCCAGTAGTAGTCATGGGAACCAAAGAAGAACACAGGGAAGTCCCCCAAGTCATGCTTAAGGCCCTGGATGTTCAGTGGCACAGACCTGGGGTTGCAGATCTCTGCTGGCCACCATCTGAAAACAAAAGCAGGTTTAGAGGAAGAGGAAAAATCCCATCATTCACAAGACCAGCAGGAGGAAAAGAATGGGTTTTGCAATGAGCAACTGTCACTGAGACTTTAAAAAAAAACACAAAATACCTTAGCTTTAATGCACCCAAACCAGACACATACAATTTACTACTTAACATATTAATGGACAAAACAGGGAGTAGAGACTCAACAAAGTGGGTTCTAAACTGACCTAGTTTCTTTAAAAATATTTGAATCTTGTAAAATAAATATATCATGAAAATTAAGTATAACAATAAATACTACTACCCAACTCAAAAATTGGAGTGTTACCTATGCCATTACAAACCGAGTTTTGATCCTGGTAGTTAAAGAAATCATTTTGAGAATGAACTGATACTATACATTCAAATCAGCATTTTCTGAATCTCTAATCAACCAGGGTACATACCTCTTGGTCAAATGTACTAGGTGTTCTATCAGTTTGTATTGCAGAGGAACCTAATTCGTCTTAGATCATCACAAATAAGGAATGGGGGCAGGATGGAATTTTAAGTATTCCAGTGTCTATGATGACTACTACAGCTGTCATGAAAGGAAACCATCTGCGGGGCACATGGGACAGTTTCTAGCAATCGTACATCAGGAATCGAAGGGTGAAGCCGAGGGTTAGAGAATGTGGCCAACGTCAGTGAGCTTCCTGTGGGTCCCTGTGGGAACAGCCGTAAAACCAACCAACAGCAGAGAACAGCCGATGTGCTTGTCCATAAGCTTTCCAGGCTCTTGTTCTACATATGCCTAATAAAACTATAATTTCATCATTTAGAAGATAAATGATGACATGGCTGCACTCCCAGATTTATGCTGCAGAACGTGAATCTGAAAGGTTTCGTGCTGTCAATCCAAGAATTAACAGCCTGGGCAAGAATCCATGCTTCATCAAAAGGAAACAAAAACCACTGTATTTTACGTGATTGATATTTGGCTTACCCTCAAGACAAGCTAGGAATTGTTTATTTGTTTCAAAACTATTCTCAGGAAGCTAAATATGCACTCAATGACTGCAGCCACAAGGGTCAGTTATGAAGAGGCACGCTTCTGCTAGGGATTGTTCTGGATCCTTACACTTCACCCCAGGAAGCCACACACCAAGTTACTAGTTACAGAAAACAAACGGTATCAAGTGGCCCGATGGGCCTCACTGGAAAGAAACATATTAAGAATTAGTTCAGGGGCTGACACTGAGGTGCAGCAAGTTAAACTGTTGCTTATGATATCAGCATCCCATACTGGAGGGCTGGCTTGAGTCCCAGCTGCTCCACTTCCAGTCCAGCTCCCTGCTAATGTGCCTGAGAAAACAGTGGGAGATGGCTCAAGTGCTTGGGCCCCTGCACCCACATGGAAGACTCAGCTGAAACTCCTGGGTTCTGGCTCCCGCCTGGCCCAGCCCCAGTGTTCTGGTTGTTTGGGGAATAAACCAGTGGATGGAAGATCTCTTCTCTGTCTCTCCCTCTATCACATGCCTTTCAAAAAAAAGAATTAGTTCATGGATGGAAGTCTTTGTAAAACACAAGATAAAAAATTTCATTGAGCTATGAACTGCACTGGAACATTGATTTGGCTTTTTTAAGAGGCAACTGGGGCCAGCATTATGGTATACTGGGTAAAGCTACCGCCTGTGGTGCTGGCATCCCATGTGGGCACTGGTTTGAGTACTGGCTGCTCCATTTCTGATCTACTTTCCTCCTAATGGGCCTGAGAAAGCAGCGGAAGATGGCCCAAGTCCTTGGGCCCCAGAACCCACGTGGGAGATCCAGAAGAAACTCCTGGCTTTGGATCAGCCCAGCTCCTGCCATTGCAGCTATATGGGGAATGAACCTGCAGCTGGAAGATCTCCCTCTCTGTCTCTGCCCCTTGGCCCGTATCTCTGCCTTTCAAATAAATAAATAAATAAGAAAAAAGTAGTTAAGTGTTAAAATTAAATCTAGTCAAAGATATTTTCATATTCATAATTTTTAAAAATACCCTGAAGGTTTTTGGAATGTGTGAAGGCTTTTTACACTATTTTAGATAATTCTTATACACAATGTCTTTTTTTTTTTTTGACAGGCAGAGTGGACAGTGAGAGAGAGAGACAGAGAGAGAAAGGTCTTCCTTTGCCGTTGGTTCACCCTCCAATGGCCGCCGCTGCAGCCGGCGCACCGCGCTGATCCGATGGCAGGAGCCAGGAGCCAGGTGCTTTTCCTGGTCTCCCATGGGGTGCAGGGCCCAAGCACCTGGGCCATCCTCCACTGCACTCCCTGGCCATAGCAGAGAGCTGGCCTGGAAGAGGGGCAACCGGGACAGAATCCGGCGCCCCGACCGGGACTAGAACCCGGTGTGCCGGCGCCGCAAGGTGGAGGATTAGCCTATTGAGCCACGGCGCCGGCTTTACACAATGTCTTAACAACTGAATCGTGTAGCCTTCCTTGCCCCTGGCAGGTATACATTTTTTAAAATGATGAACACAGTACATGCTTAAATTAAACATTACAACATATCAAAACATCACTCTGTACCCAAGATGCATACAATTATATTAATTGTAAGTAAAATTTTTTAAAAAAATGAAAACAATGGAGAAATGTGTAATAGAAAAGTGAAAATGCTTCCCTGTATGATTTTATCCCTGACACCATGAACATTATATATATTCCTTTCCAGGTATTAAAAACATATTGTAAATGGAACTATAATTTTAAAAAATTATGTAAACATACAGATACATACTATATATTAAGATGCCTTTTGAACTCAACTGTGTATTATGGAGATCTTCCCATATTACTACAACAAACCTGCCTTTTCACTGGCTTCAGGGTATTCTAAGAAATGGACATGTCCTTGACATCCATGTGGAGACCTGGATGAAGCTCCTGGCTCCTGATTTTAGCCTGACCCAACCCCAGCCACTGCAGCCATCTGGGAGGTGGAACTAGGGGATGGAAGTTCTCTCTCCCTCTCTCTCTGTTATGCTTTCAAATCAGTCAATCAATTGATCAATCGATCAATCAATCTTTAAAAAAACAAAACTGAGAAGCAGAGAGGCAGAGACAATCAGCCAGACATCCAGAGAGAGACACGGGTAGAAAGAGCCCCAGATGCCTGTAATGCTAGGGCTGGGCCAGGAGTTTCATCCAAGTCCCTCATGTGAACAGAGCCTCCCAGGTCTGCATTAGCAGGAAGCTGGACTCAGCACCCATAACCAGGGGTCTAACTCAGGTATTCTGAAGTGGGGCATGGACTTTGTAACCTCAAGGCCAAACAAACATCCACGTCTTTTGTGCTATCTTGAGTAGTATCTTTTTTCTTAGAAAAATGATAAATACATGCCCTTTTATAAATATACCAATATTCCTATTTGGTAAAGGTTTGTTAAAAGCTTTAAAGGAGAAAGTTTTATTAAAATAATGGCAATCACACATACTGCTTACTTCATTCCCCTAAGAACTAAAAGCTCTTAATGGAATAATCTCTCTCTTTAAATTCTAAGAAAGCTCTCTCTCTCAACACAGTTTACTGCTTCTAGCTACAACAAAATAGGCCAGATTTAGGGTAAAGAAAGCTATTCTGGCCAAACTTGATCTTACTAGAAATTAGAAATCAATAGAAGCCTAATTAAGATACAAAGAAAACATTACCTCCACTGTCCACATGGCCTTTTACTCCCAAAGCTAGTAATAGGCTATTTGGGAGGAACAGCTTTCAGTGCTCAAAAACAAGTCAGTCAATGAAAAAGAAAAATTAACCATGATATCACTTTCCCAGCCCCCTAAAAACGCAGACTCAAACATATTTCCTTTCTCTTCCTTTTTCAAGGAGGCAGGTCTGTGCTGTTCCAGCCATCCTCTGGCCACACTGTATCCAGATTCTGAACTTAGACTGAATCATGACTGAATACTTCCTCTATGCCCTTGAAAAACTTGCCTGTAATTTCCCAATTTGACCCAAACAATTTGCTTGTAATGTAGTTTCTTGCCAGCTTTACAGTCATTACAATTCCAGCAGCCTTCTGGCATGTCTATGCTCAGGCACTCCGGGTGGAAGGACGCTGGGCACGACTCACAGCAGAGCAGTCTTCCACCTTGAAACAAATAAACAGTCTTAATAATTGACAGCAGAGGAGAGAGACAAAGAAAGGAAAAGGAGAATGTTATCTTACAAGCACACTGAATCTGATTCAAATTGGGGAAAATAACAAAGGGATTGAGTCGCATCTAGAGAGATGGATTAAAATAGAAAGCGAAGGAACATATTAATTCTTTTTCAGGGCTTCAGCAGCCAGAACTCAAGAGCTCTTCAGTGGTATCAAAAACACTACTATTCTCCGCTCCTCTAAAATGTGAGCTTTTGCAGCATCAGTCTAGCAAGCAATGCAGACTCTCAACAAAGGACAAAATAGCTGCACACAATCTTTAGAGTCAGGAGCCTGAGGGTGGGCTCTTCAAAGTAGTGAGTAGCAACTTTTCTTCTTCCAAGCAAAGCAGACAAGCGACAGTTCTTTGTATTTTAATCCAATGCCACAGTTAACTAAATCCCTTTATGATAAAATTAGCAAGAACGAAAACAGGGCAACAGCCAATGGGTTGATCAGTACTTTTATCTTTCCATAAAAGAATATAATAAAGCAAAAGGAATGAAGATTCTCAAATCAGTGATTGCATAATCATTCCCTTTTCAGTGAAAATTAAGGAAGTCAAACAGGCTATACAGCAGTGGTTTGTAACTTTTCCATCATTAAGGATCAGTTTTCCCTTGCTCAAGTATCCACATGTTTTCAAATATTTTAGCAACCACAATAATCTGCATTTAAAAGTAACAATTTCTATTTTTATTAACCAAAAATATGTGACTGTTGGAGATTCTGGTCAATAACAAAACTAGAGTCATCATCTTAAGTTGTTAAAAATCATAGCCAAACCCATGCAGTCTTAGTCTGTTAATTTCCTGAAACAGTACAAAAACTTGTGTACACGAGATCATTTTGACTTCACACTGGGAACCACTGCTTTATAGCACAAAGCTCAGTAAGGTCAGTGTAGACTCAGCTCCTGCTCAAGAAGCACCCTCCAAGTTCCCAGCAAACCTTCTTCTTTTAAAAGCACAAAATGGCTTTTGACTGAGACCAAAAGAGGTGTGACAAACAATATACTATTTTCAAATACAAAGACATAAACAGATCTGGTGAGGGGGATGAGGATATTTCTGATGCACATTTCAAAAACTGACAGAGATCATTAACCACTTGAGATGAAACATTTTAAAGGCATTTCGTGTAAAAACCCATTGGAAAATCAGGTCTATAACCCACGAGTGTACTGAGATTTAGTGTCTCACAGCAAAGGGTTAAGAGCTCTGGATACAACTTTATCAAATCGCAGCTCCAACCTTTGGAGGGTTTACTATCAGTTTTCCAGAAAATCATGCCCCCTTGGAGACTTTCAAACTTCTAACTGATTAACATAAAAACAAAAAGAAAACCCACACACATCCAGCAATGAATTAAATTACTATATTTCCTCTGCTTAAAAGCTTAACTTCAATCATCAGAATTTTTTCCTTTGGCTGCAGATCTCAATATGGATTCACTGGGTCAATTCTCCAATCTCGAGATTAGCTGCCTGTGTGCCCTAAGCCTAGATAGGAAATTCTGTGGACTTAAAGTCAAACAGTTATTCATTTTCCATGGAAAAGGAATGGCTCTCTGCAAATAGCTTTTGAACACATGTGATTACAAGCCCTGACGTGGAGGTCAGGTGGGCCGTCTCGAAACTGAATGTTATAGATTAGTCCTTGATTTTAAGTCTTATTTCAGAGGAAATACAGAGCCAGAATCATCGGTGAAAAATCATTATGATAAAGATGTTAAAAATACACAAGGGAAATAGAAAAAAAAATTAAAATAAAAATGATCCACCTTGGTGCTATGCAAGAAAACTGCTTTAGGATGCAAGAGGAGGAAGATATGGTTCAAGCTAAGCAAACAGAGGGCTCAAAATAATTTCAATTCATGTCAAGGTTAATCATGAATACCAAAAATAAAGTAAGCAGTCATTAATCTAATCTCACAAAGGTGCCAGCATAAAAATATTCCCTAAAATACCTCAAGTAGACTAATCACATATATTGCACTGTGAAGTAAGTAGACCTAGGTTCATCTCCGTTTTGGAAGTAAGCAGTATCACCAATAAGGTGACATAATCTCATTCCAATGGCAAACAGACATACACACAAACCAGCCAATATTCTCTCCAATACTTCAAATGGGTTTTAATCAACTTGCTTATTTATACGTTCTTTTAGCCAGGAGTTGCCACTTTAGATGTCTGACAAAAAGCAAAGATATATCAAACAGGCAACACAAAGAATGAAAAAAAAAGGGATTATTTCAAATATACCTAGTATGTATACATATATATACACACACACATATATATCTATATATGGTATATTAGATGTGAAGGGATTTTTCTTTAAGATCCTGAACCTGGCCCCCAGATAATCATAATGGGAATTTACACAGGAAAAGGCCTCACTTTCCAAAATAATGTAACACTGTTAAATAACCTTTCCTTTACTATAAGTAGGTTGCAGAAAGCTAAACACAAGATAAAATTTTCTTCCATAAATTAAATTAATAGGGAGATTATAAATATGTATTCAGCTCTTGGTTTCCTCAGGATAAGTTATCCATCAGCTGCCTTCCAGCATCTAGTATTTGGGGGGTCCCTCTACCCCAGCTTCCCACCAATGTCTCCTAAAAGGGGGGCAAATAGTTTTCATGGCATCTTGGCAAAACAAAATGAGAGAATTCTAAAATCAAACTCTTAAGAATCAGTACCTTCAGTTCCTTCTTTTAAAAATCGATCTTATTTTTACTTGAAGGTAACAACTTATACTATATCTATTCTTTTCTAACACGAACCTCAGTCTGTATCAGGCAAAAGAGAAAAGTCTTAGAATATTCTGCTATAGTGAACAATATCCTAGTCTTTCTGTTTTAATAACTTACATAGGAGGAATGTGTGAAAATTTATTCAAGAAGAATTAAGTAAAAATTTGTAATAATGGAATTATTTTAAGCCCTTTAAAAATAATTTTGCAGCCATATGAAGACAGTCACAACCAACAAGGCAGAGTTTACCAAAAGCAACAGATGGTGCTTGACAGGCATACACTTCCCCCCTTCATTGAAAGAGAAAAAAAAGGAAAAGCAAAAATAAAAGAGATAAACTATTTTGATTATTACCTTTCTCACATTTCTTTTTGGAAGCTGACGAAGAAGGAATCATAGGTAATTTCATCAACTCAGCACGATTTGATTCATTCAGTAGGTAGTGGGACTTATAGGCATAGGAACTGAACATGGGGTCTGAATGGTCCTGAACTATCAGCCCTATACGAAACAAACAGAAAGAGATGAGCTGCAATGAAACTACCCATGATTCCGTGAGGAAAAATCAACCAACACCTATTACGTGGCTGTACTTCAAAGCTGGGGAGGACACAAGAGAATCTGGAGAGAAAGAAGGATCTGGTGGAAACACTTGCTACAGCTGGTGAGGAGTCTGAGCTATGCAGTGCCTTCTCTAGACAAACCTCTCTTCTTCTGAAAAACACTCCAAATTTGAAGATGTAAATGGCATTTGCAGTCACAATGAAAACCCCTAAGGAAAACAAAGCTGCATTCCTTAGTACTGAAAAGGCCTAGGATGACAAACCAAAGGACACAATGACATCCCTTATTAGCTAGAAATAAGAATCATTCACATAACATCATAGACCCTGAGCCCTCATCTACCTTCAGTAAACCAAGCAGCACACAGAGGCAGAACTGAGTCTCTCCTTTTCCCCACTCATATCCTGAGAAACACTTCAATAAATTCTAGCTTTCTATGCCAGACAATGAAACTCTTCCCTATCAACATGGTTCACGATTTTAAAGAAATTATAACTTTCTGAACTTTACTGAAGTAATGCAAACCATTTAAATTTTCCCTGTCATGTTATAAAATGATTACCAACTTTCGCTTACCAAACACAGCTCCCCTAATTGGAGGAAAACACAAGATCTACTCAGGCTCACCTGTGAATACCCACCCCCTGATGCCCTCCCCCTTCTCCCAGATCAGGTCAACATGCAGCTCTAACAACATCTAAACCCAGGGAACTGGGAGGCCAGGAAAATTTATCTTGGTAACTGTTCAGTTTTTTAAAACCTAGGACCTTGCACCATAAATCACAACAGCAGCTTCATTTGGAGACTATTTTGTGTGTGTGTTGGGGGGTGGTTTTGTTTTCAAAAGGTTACCATTTACTTTTTCAGTGTTGTCTTTATTTGATGTGACCCTACACTGACATGGAATTGAGAAATACCCTGGGACCATATGATAGGATGGAATTAACTGGTAATAAGACCATTCCAATGCAACTGTGGAATGTCGAAATGGATTTCTTTAAAAAATTTTTTTTTAAGTTTAGTTTTGAGGCAGAGAGACCACTCATACTCTCACCTGCTGGTCCATTCTCCCAACGCCCACAACCCTGAAGTCTCAGGACACAACCCAGGTCTCCAGGTAGGCAGCAGGAACTCATCTACTTGGGACATCACTGCTACCTCCCACTGTGAAATTCACTCAAATACTGGCTAATAGAGTTTGACTTACTCAATATGCAAAGTAAATTGCTAGTAGTATGTTAAAAATTAAAAGAAAACCCTAACCCAACTTCTCCATTGTAAAGTCCTATTACAAAGCAAGGCACAGAATGTTAAATAACTTTTATTTTACACCACTCTCTAGATCAGAGCCTGAGAGCTGTATAAGGCCCACAAAAATTCCCTTGGTCTGGCTCTGCCAATGCAACTGCAGGTGGGACTCAAAATTCAATACATCTCTAGCAGGCTAATTTTTTAAGCTGATCATTTTGTATGGCCCGAGAATGATGTGATAAATATCCAAATGGCCCTTGGCAGAAAAAATGTTCCCAACCCCTGCCCTAGATGAGGGAAAAGCTCAAGAATACACACTTCCCTGGGGGATAGGCTATGTTCCTCCAAATCTCAAAACGTTTCTAAAAACGATTTCTAGACACCTCAGTCTGTAAGAATGCACATAAAGATTTTAAATAGCCAACAACCAAGAACTAAGAAAAAACTGTGCAGCAGAAAAATAATGTATGAGGCAAGAAACAAACAAAAGAAGCTAAATTTCCTAATAACCAAAACATAAATGACTTAAGTGCCCTTCTTTTGTGTATGGACTTATTGTAATTAGGTCTCTTTTTAAAAAGGAAGTCTCTGTAAATACTTATATTTGAGAATTGAATAATCTGGCTTAAATAGGTACTTATATACAGTTACCTAAATTCAGAATAATTGCCAAACTGTCAAGAGGTAAATGCATATTCTGTTGTTAAACCAGGGTTCCCCCCACCTCCATTTACATTACTCTCAATTTTTAATCAAGACTTATAAATTGCAATTAATAGAGTGGCTAGAGTATCTATCAGTGGACTACTCTCTGGCAGTTTTAAAGTGAAAATATGTTTCAAAGTTTTCCCAGTTACTGGGAATGAATGAAGTAGAGAAAAAAGAAAACACCAGTTAATATACTGGTACTATTCAATACAGAATCAAAGTAAGCTGACACAAATAGTTATATACTTGATATTTAAAATGTTGGCTCAGTTGTATATGTTTATATACTGCCAGTAAAACTAAGAGCTTAGTAATGGTGGAATGGAAGGAGTTTGCAAAGCAGAAAGAGACTATGTTATCACTCATCTGAAGTCTCTAAAGCAAAGCACTCAATTGGCAATTCAGTATTTCCTCCTCATTACTTTCTTAGGGAAGGGGAAATGAGAAAGGTACTAGTGTTAGTTTTTATTAATTATCTGCCTTTTGGGATCCTTTCTGGCACCTGTTACAATGAGGCACGAAACACTTCCAACCTCCTCCTCCAGGTTTCAGGGCAGGACACAGCTATAATTGCTCTAGTATAGAAAGACACAATGCTTCCCGTTACAGTGGCAGCCAGCCACATGTGGTTGTGGAACTCCGGCAGAGAAAGCAGTGTGTGCAATGCACCTAGCTGGCTTCCCGACATACGATTACCATTCAGCCTGTTATTGCCTGCCTCCTCTAAGTTACATTTTTTTGTTTGTTTGTTTGTTTTTTTTTACAGGCAGAGTGGACAGTGAGAGAGAGAGAGACAGAGAGAAAGGTCTTCCTTTGCCGTTGGTTCACCCTCCAATGGCCGCCGCGGCCGGCGCACCGCGCTGATCCGATGGCAGGAGCCAGGAGCCAGGTGCTTTTCCTGGTCTCCCATGGGATGCAGGGCCCAAGCACCTGGGCCATCCTCCACTGCACTCCCTGGCCACAGCAGAGAGCTGGCCTGGAAGAAGGGCAACCGAGACAGAATCCAGCGCCCCAACCGGGACTAGAACCCAGTGTGCCGGCGCCGCTAGGCGGAGGATTAGCCTAGTGAGCCGCGGCGCTGGCCCTAAGTTACATTTTTTAAAAATAAGAGATGCAAGAGCAGAACAATGTAAGATCTAACATACCACCTAAACTATTTTTAACATATTTTTATAGAACTTTTACCAAATTAAAAGAACTGTTTCCTAAAGGAAAAAGGAAAAAGCAGAAAGCAGCAAAAAAAACCAACAAAAACTACTTTCATCTTCAATATAGTCTAAATATAATCAAACAGGCCTGTATGCCTTAGAATCCTTTTTAGTATTTCACACTGAGGGAAGTTCAAAAAACCTAGCACTTACGTTGCAAAAAAACCACCAAAAACAGTGTTTGGGAATACCAGCTGGTTTCTATAATTCTTACATAGTACAAAAAAAAAAAAAAAGCTTTATTATAATACAGCTGACATAAAGGTGGATACCCCATATCATATCCAGCTAAAGAAGTTCTGCTTTGTATGAATCATGAATTCAAGTTGACTGACCCTGGCGGGCACACAAGATTGCTTTTAGTTGATCAATCCCTTGGCACAGTTCAGTTTCAATGGCTGGAAAATAAGAAAGCCTGAACTGCTGGCTCTTAACTCAACCACTGCATGTGCTGAGTGCTGCGAGGCCTTCCTCAAGGCGAGGCTGGAACAGTAGGATAAAACACACCAAAGACCAGTGACAAGTAAATGCACTAGCCTCGCCTTCCATGCACAATCTCAATCCATTCAAAGTTCTGGATTAAAGAACATGACATGGGAAGGACCTACTCTGAGCACAAGATCTGTTTGCAGAAGGGAATGCATTAGTCTTTTGATGCTCCAAACAGGAAACAGTAAGAATTTACTTAAATCTATTTTTAAAACTGCATATTTTAATCCTAACTTATGGGAGAATTAATATTCTAGTAATTTGGATGCTTAATGATATAAAAGGACTAGTTAGTGGAAATGCTCACCTCACTCAGGGATATAACAGAACAGAACTCTGCACTGGTTAGGAGAGTGCATTAGATGGCCTGGGTCTCCAATGCCAAGACTCTATTTTAAGGGGGAAACATGCCAAAGAACTCAAAAAGAAAGAAAAGAGCACTGACACTCACCTCTGGCACAAACGAAACAAAAGCCTACATTTACAGCTGAAGAAGAATTGCTGCTCCGTTTGGAATGATTACTACAGATGAGAATGCAGGAGGACACAAATATGCTTCCAGCAGCAATGCAAGCATCTCCAGAGTGATAGGCCACCGGACACCGCAAACATCTCATCATGCGGCCTGTTCAGAGACAAGTCAACACAGGCATCTATGTAACAAGGCATCAGCAGGACATGGAATGAGACTTTTGGAGCTATGCTGCTTTGGGTTCCCATTTGATGCTAGTTACAGAAAAAAATCTTTTCTTTATTAATTTATCTCTGTTATCCCAATCCTATATGGCCTTAAAAGCAGGACTAATAATCACTTAGACTTCATCCAAAGAAAAAGTCATCTGTTCTGATGCTGCAGAGACGGTAGTATCTTGTACGGCACCTGCCCAAGGGACTTCTCTTTCAAAGATTTTTTTATTTACTCATTTGGAAGGCAAAGTGACAGAAAGAGGGAGACACAAACAGAACATGAGAGTGCGTGAGCTCTTCCATTTGCTGGCTCACTTCCCACTGGCTGCAACAGCCAGCTCTGGGTCAGGCTAAAGCCAGGAGCAGGAACTCCATCTGGCTTTCCCACAAGGGTGGCAGACAGTTGGGCCAACACCTGCTGCTTCCCAGGCACATTAGCAAGAAGCTGGATTGGAAGCAAAGTAGCTGGGACTTCACCGGGAACTCCAACATGGGATGTGGGTGTCCCAAATGAAGGCTTAAGGCGACCCTGAACCTCTACTTAGCATGCTATCTATTGTGGCTGAACTAGTAAACCTAGAGGTAAGCGGGGGGCTGGGGAGGTGGAATGATTGATGCTGTTATAAATTCTATACTTAATACATTCATTGTCATTGTCCTGAAGAAAACCTCAGTACCTTCCTTCAGCTCTATTTTACCTTTACTTGCTTTGTGGATATCTTTCTCCATAGAGCAGGCAGAGCAGCAGTGCTGGGGACAGCGGAATCCTTTTGATTCAAAGATGGCAGTGGGGAATTTACGGACACAGGCTTCATGGTAAAATTTCCCGCAGGCACCAACAGAACAGCGCTTCACGTCCTTACCAGACATCTTACATGAAAAACATGGGTGCTGCCCTGGAAGATGGGTGAGGAACAAAATAAGATCTGATTAAAGAAAACTCCTTTTAGATGGAAGCGAAACATCAAAGAGTTGCTCCTAAAAGAGACTCTACTATTACCTACAAGAATTTCACACAAAATAAAGGCATTTCAGATAAATGGCCACATTAAAAGATCTTACAAATCTTGCCAGAACAAATGACTGTCAGTTGGAGATACAACTCTAAGACATTTTAGATCTCTACAGTTAACTTCATAGAAACCTCACAACGGAAATTTTTCAACACTTGGGAGCAGAGAGTGGTAAGTTCTTCCCCACAAGAATGACTAAAAGCAATTACCAAAAGAAAGATTCCATTAGATAACCATTGCTGATTTCTGCATGGAAAACAAAAGACAAAACGAAAACTCATAAATCTAATAAAAAAGGTAGAAAATAAGTTAGACCTATCTTACCCAACCTGTAGAAAACCAAGGACAAAGACATTATTAAAATTTCCCACAGGAAAGGCAATTACTTTCAGAGAGGACTGACTGAAAGAGAAAAATGGAAACCAAAATAATAATGGGATCTATCTTCACAGACCAGAAGGAAAATAATTACCAAGCCAGAATTCTATACCCAGTGAAAACACGTGTCCAGAATGAAGAAAAAGCAACATTTACCAGGGAGACATAAAGCAAGCAAACAAACAAACCTGGTTCTTTCAAAAGACTAATAAAATTTATATTCCTGATAAAAATAACTTTTAAAAAAGCACCAATATTTATAATATCAGAAATGAAAAACAGAATGTTCACAGTAAATCTTAAAAATACTTAAAAGATAGGCCGGCGCCGCGGCTCACTAGGCTAATCCTCCACCTTGCGGCGCCGGCACACCGGGTTCTAGTCCCGGTCGGGGCGCCGGATTCTGTCCCGGTTGCCCCTCTTCCAAGCCAGCTCTCTGCTGTGGCCCAGGAGTGCAGTGGAGGATGGCCCAGGTGCTTGGGCCCTGCACCCCATGGGGAGACCAGGAAAAGCACCTGGCTCCTGGCTCCTGCCATCGGATCAGCGCGGTGCGCCGGCCGCAGCGCGCCGGCCGCGGCGGCCATTGGAGGGTGAACCAACGGCAAAAGGAAGACCTTTCTCTCTGTCTCTCTCACTGTCCACTCTGCCTGTCAAAAAAAAATAAAAAAAAAAAAAAATACTTAAAAGATAGTAAAAGGATACTACCTAATATTCCCAATAAATCTGATTATCTAGATGAATGGACAGATTCCTAGAAAAACAGCTTACTGACAGTGGCACAAAAATAAGTACAGAATATGAACAGTTCTATAAACTATTAAAAGAAATTGAGATTATAATTTAAAAACCTTCCAACAAAGAACATTTTAGGCCCAGAAGACTCGACAGGCAAATCTGTCAAATATTTATTTATTTATTTTTATTTTATTTTATTTTATTTTTGACAGGCAGAGTTAGATAGTGAGAAAGAGAGAGACAGAGAGAAAGGTCTTCCTTTCTATTGGTTCACCCCCCAAATGGCCACTACGGCCGGCACACTGTGCCAATCTGAAGCCAGGAGCCAGGTGCTTCCTCCTGGTCTCCCATGCAGGTGCAGGGCCCACGCACTTGGGCCATCCTCCACTGCACTCCCAGGCCACAGCAGAGAGCTGGACTGGAAGAGGAGCTACCAGGACAGAACCGACGCCCCAACCGGGACTAGAACCCGGGGTGCCAGCGCCACAGGTGGAGGATTAGCCAAGTGAGTCATGGCGCCAGCCCCCATAGTAAACTTTTACCCTAGCAACTAGCAATTATTTAAAGGGGAAAAATAATGCCAATTAAGACAGAAATAGAAAATAGTAACAAGCAAAAGATACACAAATGTGGAAAAATATACACCAAAGGATTATATAAAAATAAAATTACAAAGGAAAAATAAATAGCAAAGGATTATATACAGAGTTCAAACACGGAGAAAATACACAACAATATATAAAAGCAAATCTAACTGAGCAAAATGTAAAAAGAATAGTATAGAATCAGAATAGAAAAAAATCAAAGCAGCCTAATGTAAAATAGGGCAGAAATTCTGAACAGGTAATTTATAGGGAGAAAATAGCCAAAAACACATGAAGATGTTCCTTGCCAGTAATCAGATACAACTGAAACTAGGTACGCAACAACAAAAAAATTTAGAGTTCAGTAATACCGAACATTGACAAGGGTACAAGAAAACAGGTATTCTATATTCTGCTGGTGTCTAAGCTGAAAGGATCTATCTTAAAAGTACTCAAACAGTATTTTTCACTTTATGTTTCTGTGTGGGAGCAAACTGTTGAAATCTTTACTTAATGTATGCTAAACTGATCTTCTGTATATAAAGAGAATCGAAAATGAATCTTGATGTGAATGGAAGGGGAGAGGGAGTGGGAAAGGGGAGGGTTGCGGGTGGGAGGGACGTTTTTGGGGGGAAGCCATTGTAATCCATAAGCTGTACATTGGAAATTTATATTCATTAAATAAAAGTTAAAAAAAAAAAAGCAACTGGGGCTGGGGTGGGATGGGAGGGTAGTGCTGTGTTTGCAGCAGGTAAAGCTACTGTCTGAGGCGCTGGCATCCCATACAGGCACCAGCTTGAGCCCCTGTTGTTCCACTTCCAATCCAGCTCTCTGCTATAGCCGGGAAAGCAGAAAATGGTCCAAGTCCTCCGGCCCCTGCACGTGTGTGAGACCTAGAAGAAGCTCCTGGCTCCTGGCAATGGACTGGCCCAGCTCTGGCTGTTGTGGCCATTTGGAGAGTGAACCAGCAGATGGAAGATCAATCTCTCTCTCTGCTTCTGCCTTTCTGTAACTCTGCCTTTCAAATAAACAAATAAATCTTGAAAAAAAGAAAAAAGAAAAAAGCAACTGGTGGGGCTGGCATCATGGTGTAGCAGGTAAAGCTGTCGCCTGTGACACCAGCATCCCATATGGGCACTAAATTGAGTCCCAGCTGCTCTACTTCTGACCCGGTTCCCTGCTAATGCGCATGGGAAGCTAGAGAAAGATGGTCCAAGTACTTGGTCTCCTGCCACCCATGTGGGAGACCAGGATGGAGTTCCAGACTCCTGGCTTTGCCCTGGCCCAACCTCAGCCATTGTGGCCATTCAAGGAGTGAGCTAGAAGACGGAAGATTCCTTTCTCTCTCTGTCTCTCTCTCTATTCACTTGGCCTTTCTTTTTTTTTTTTTTGGACAGGCAGGGTGGACAGTGAGAGACAGAAAGAAAGGTCTTCCTTTTTCCATTGGGTCACCCTCCAATGGCTGCTGCGGCCGGTGCACTGCGCTGATCCAAAGGCAGGAGCCAGGTGCTTCTCATGGTCTCCCATGCGGGTGCAGGGCCCAAGCACTTGGGCCATCTTCCACTGCACTCCCAGGCCACAGCAGAGAGCTGGAATCAGAATCTGGTGCCCTGACCGGGACCAGAACCCGGGGTGCCGGCGCCGCAGGTGGAGGATTAGCCTATTGAGCCGTGGCGCCGGCCTACTTGGCCTTTCAAATAATAAAATAAATCTTTAAGTAAAAATTCTGTAAAATTGATTGTTACAGAACTTTTTGTAGTCTTCCTACTACTATACATTTTTTAAAAGGGTAAATGAAAATGCTTTCTTTCCAGAAATCACATTTGTCTTAAATAACAGAAAGTGGTAATATGAGAACTTATCAGGCATGCATTCTGTAATACTGTTTTTACATGTAAAGTGTTTATCTTTGATAAACAGAGGAAAACTGCCTCAATGAAGTTAAAGCAACAGTTTTTAGAAGTTCTTACTGCAAATGTCAGAATAACCAAATTAAAAAGACTTTAATTTTTTATAATTGTGGTAAAATACATAACATAAAATTTAACATTTTAACAATTTTTAAATATACAGTTCAAGTGACATTACATACACTTGCTGTTAGGCTATCATCACTACTATCGGGCCTGATGACATCCTGAATATTCAACAACTCCCCATACCTTCTTCCCCTGCATCTCTCATAACCACTGTTCTATTTTCTGAGAACTTGGCCACTCTAGGCATTTCCTGTAATTGGAGTCCTACAATATTTGTTCTTTTGTGACTGACTTATTTCACTCAGCATAAAGTCTTCAAGGTTTATTTCACTCAGCATAAAGTCTTCAAGGTCAATCCAGGCTTATATATTATTCAAGGCTGCATAACGTTTCACTGTATGCACATGTATTTTGTTTATCCCTTCATCCACTGAGGGACATTTGGACTGCTTCTACCTTTTAACTATCGTGAATAATGCTGCTACCACATGGAGGTACAAACATCTGCTGGAATCCTCGCTTTCAGTTCTTTTTGGGTTTTAAACCCAGAGTGGGACGGTAACTATTTACTTTTTTGAGAAACTGTCACATTGTTTTCTTTTTTCTTCTAAGTTTCAAGCTTTTTATTCCATGAGAGAAATGCATAGGAGAGTGAGGGTGTTAATGTAATCTAAGGGAGAAGGGAAAGTCTAGAAATCAAGTTGAAATCCATACCAAGCACCAGGAGCCAGCTGCGCGGTGGAGCAGGCAGGCCAGAAAGCATGGAGCGGGTGGCCGGAAGGTCACGTGCCCCGAAGGCCCGGGCAGCAAGGGCCCACAATGGCGAACGAGGGCAAAAGAGGGCTCCACATCGTTCTCAACAGCTGCTGTACCATTTTACATTTCCGCCAACCGGGTACAAAGGCTCCAATTTCTTCTCATCCTTTCCAACACTTGTTTTGATTTCTTTTTAATAATAGTCGTCCTAATGGGTGTGAAGTGGCAGCTTATTATGGTTTTCATTTGCACTTCTCTGATTACTAATTATGTTGAGTACACTTTCATGTGTCTATCAGTCATCTATCAGTCAGTGTATGTTCTTTGAAGAAATCTCAGCTCAAGTTCTTCACCCAATTTTGACTTGGATTCTTTGTTGCTGAACTGAAGGAATTCTCCATATATCCTGGGCATTAATCCCTTATCAGATGCTAATTTTCAAATATTTTCTCCCATCTTCTGGGCTGCTCTTCCACTCTCCTGACAGCGTCATGTGGTGTACAAAAGATTACAAAGAAAATTTGATGCAGCCAATTTGTTCATAATTCCTTTTGTTGTGACTCTGATGTTATATCCATTAAATCACTACCAAAGCCAATGTCATGAAGTTTCCCTCTATCTTCCTCTAACAGTTTTATTGTTTTACCTCGTGTGCTTTGGTCTTTGGTCCATTTGAAGTTAATTTTTGTTTAGTGTGTTAATGGTCCATTGCATTCTTTGGCATGCATTCATTCTTTTCAGCCACATTTGTTGAAAATACTGTCCCTTCCCCCATTGAATGGTCGTCACACCCTCGTCAAGAAGCATTTGGCCACATAACCAAGTGCGTGTGTATTTCTGGGCTTTCAGTTCTCTTCCATTGTTTGTGTGTCTGTATTCCCGCATCACAATGGTTTGATCACTGTAGCTCAGCAGTAAACTTTGAAATCAGGAAGTATGTGTCCTCCCGCTTCATTATATTCATTGTTTTTAAAGCAAACTTCCCTCTTAAGCTTCCTAGTAGATGTGTACCAAATAGATTTTATGTGACCTTTGTTGACATGATTCTATAGATTCTAGAATTAGGAGAGAAGCCCAAAGAGTGTTTTTTTTTCTAATTTTTTTCTTCTTTTTATTTTATGCAAAAGGTAAAGAGGCAGAGAAACAGACAGCCCTCTCCCATTCACTGGTTCACTCTCTAAATGCCCACAACAGGTGAGGCCAGACAGTTTGGGACAGGCTGAAGCCAGGAGCCAAGAACTCAATCCAGGTCTCCCGTATGGGTTACAGGGACCCAATTACATGAGCCATCATCATCACCTGCTGCCTCCCAGGGAGTGTGCTGGAAGAAGCTGGAATCAGCAATAGAGCTGGTCTTGAACCCAGTCACCCTGATAATGAAATGCAGGCATCCTCAGTGCCATCTTAACCACTTGGCCAAATGTTTACCCATGAAGAGTGTTTTAATATTGAGACACATGGTCCTTCCCATCAATCATTTAATTAGGGACTGTGGGGCCAGCGCTATGGCATAACAGATGAAGTCTCTGCCTGCAGTGTTGGCATCCCATACGCTACTTCACTTCTGATCCAGCTCCCTGTTAATGTGCCTGAAAAGCAGCAGCAGAAGATGGCCCTAGTGCTTGGGCCCCTGTACCCATGTGGGAGACCCAGAAGAAGCTCCTGGCTCCTGGCTTCAGCCTGGCCCAGCCATGGCCATTGTGGCCATCTGGGGAGTGAAACAGGATGGAAGCTCTTTCTCCTACTCTCTCTGTATCTTTGCCTTTCAAATAAATAAATAAATAAATATTTTTTAAAAAATTGGGGACTGCATACTTCAACACTAAAAGGAATCAGACAGATTACATAAGCGACTTAAGAAAACAGTGTTTTAAGGGCCAGCGCTGTGGCATATTTGCTAAAGCAATGCCTGCAGTGCCAGCATTCCATATGGGCGCTGGTTCAAGTCCCAGCTGCTCCACTTCCAATCCAGCTCTCTGCTATGGCCTGGGAAAGCAGTAAAGCAGTGGAAAATGGCCCAAGCCCTTGGGCCCCTGCAGCCACGTAGGAGACCTGGAAGAATCTCCTGGCTTAGGATTGGTGTAGCTCTGGCCATCGTGGGAGTGAACCAGCAGATGGAAGACCTCTCTCTCTCTCTCTCTCTCTCTCTCCCCCTCTGCTTCCCTGTAACTCTACCTTTCAAATAAATACATAAATCTTAACAAATAGACAGTTTTTAGAAAAAGGAATGGGAGAGAATGTGGAGAACTAGGAATAAGTGCCTGATCCATGTTCAAAAATGAAAATACAATTAAGAAGGCCAAATAAACAGTGTGTGCAGACAGTCTGACCCTGAGGCTGCCGCTTGGCAAATGGTTCAAAGGTTTTAGAGCAGAGTCTGAATGGGATGAATCACAGAGGGTATATGGGGAAAACAGGCTATATGCTCTAAGCAGCTTCTCCAGGTTCATCTGTGAGCGTTTGTGCAGACGTTGTGTCAGGAGAGAAGATGTGAGGCATCTGACATCCACGCTACTTAGCCAAGGCAGTAAAAGGCAGGAGCAAGGAGCAAGGACTCTGGAGATAAACTGCCCGGATTTAAATTTCAGCATCATCACCTGTTCTCTTTGAGACTTTGGGCAAGCCACTAACTCTCTGATCATCACTGTCCCCTTCCATAAAATGGAAATGATAATAGTACTTAGCCTTAAATATGAGAGACAGGTTGAACAACCCTAATCTGAAAATTGGAAATTCAAAGTGCTCCAAAATCTGAAACTACTTGAATGTTGGCATGATGTTCAAAAAGTGTTGAATTTTTTTTAACATTTCAGATTTTTGGATTAGGGATGTTCAACTGGTAGTCTATGTAAATATTCCAAAATCTGAAAACATCCACAATCTAAAATACTTCTGGTTCTAAGCATTTGGGATAAAGGATACTCAACTTGTAGTGGGATAAAACGCTCAGTATTAACAGTACCTGACATTTAATAAGTGTTTAGCAGAAAAAGTTACCAACTTCCTGCTTAAAGTATTTTAGAAAGCACACAAATAAAGCCATGTAAAATAAAAGTGAGACTCTAAATAAAGGGGAGAAATTAGTAGAAAAACAAGGAGTCAAAGGTAAGATAATGTATTGTGTAAAAGCACTTCAAAAAGTTCATGAAAAATGCAATTAAAAGATAATGTGCATTTTGGCCAGTGCCACGGCTCACTAGGCTAATCCTCCGCCTGTGGCGCCGGCACACCGGGTTCTAGCCCCGGTCAGGGCGCCGGATTCTGTCCCGGTCGCTCCTCTTCCTGTCCAGCTCTCTCCTGTGGCCCGGGAGTGCAGTGGAGGATGGCCCAAGTCCTTGGGCCCTACACCTGCATGGGAAACCAGGAGAAGCACCTGGCTCCTGGCTTCGGATCAGCACAGTGCGCTGGCTGCAGTGCGCCAGCCGCAGCGGCCATTATGGGGTGAACCAATGGAAAAGGAAGACCTTTCTCTCTGTCTCTCTCTCTCACTGTCCACTCTGCCTGTCAAAAAAAAAAAAAAAAAAAAAAAAAAAAAGATAATGTGCATTTTCCACGAGCTTTCTGGAGACCCCATGTATATATCTGCTATGCAATTGGCTATTAGTTCCTCACAGTTAAAATAAAGTAAAACAAAACTTAACTGAAAAAAAAAAAAAAAAAGGCTAGGAGTCTGATGCCTCAGATGTTAGGATACCACCTGGGATGGGATAGATCCCATATCAGAGACCCTGGATTTTTGAGTCCTAGCTGCAATCCTGTTGCCAGTTTCCTGCTTATGTTCACACCGGGGGACAGCAGGTGATGGCTCACCCAGGGTGCTCCCTGCCATCATGCTTTGGACTGTATTCCTAGTTCCTATCTGTGGCCTAGGTGAGCTACAGCAGCAATTGCAGGCATTTGGGGAATGAACTGACAGATCGGAGCTTTCTCTCTGATTTCCTGCCTTTCAAAACAAAATTAAATATTTTTTAAAAGCCACACACCCGAACATGGTTCTTGGGAGTGATACCATGCCATTTCCAATCAATTTTAACTTTCTATATTGTTACAGATTAAACAAGTACTTTCAGCTTTCCATGATTTTAATCAGAATCATATCTATGTGGAGAACTATTAACTAATATATAACTTTCTGTATAAATTATGTTGATAGGTGGTAGCCTATGTATGGTGGCATAAGAAATAAAGTGAATTTACAAGTTTTAAACAAAATTTCCAGTAGCTCCATCTTTCCACTAAAAATAATATAACCATGATTATAGTCTTGACTGACACTTATTCTGGACTGTTAAAGTCAAAGAACTTTGTGCCAATTTATTTGGTGGGGCCAGCGCTGTGGTGAAGTGGATAAAGCTGCCAACTGAAGTGCTGGCATTCCATATGGGTGCTGGTTCAAGACCTGGCTGCTCCGCATTTTTTTCAAAGATTTAATTTATTTGGAAGTCAGAGTTACACAGAGAGAAGGAGAGGCAGAGAGCTCTTCCAATTGTTGGCTCACTCTGCAACTGGCTGCAATGGCTGGAGCTGCACCAATTTGAAGCCAGGAGCTTCTTCCAGATCTCCCATGTGGGTGCAGGGGCCCAAGGCCTTGGGCCATCTTCTGCTGCTTTCCCAGGCCATAGCAGAGAGCAGGATCGGAAGTGGAGCAGCTGAGACTCGAACTGGTGCTCATATGGAATGCCGGCACTGCAGGCAGACACTTTACCCTCTATGTCACAGTGCCGGCCCCTGCTCCGCTTCTGATCCTACTCTCTGCTATGGCCTGGGAAAGCAGTGGAAGATGGTCCAAGCCCTTGGGACCCTGCACCCATATGGGAGACCCAGGAGAACCTCCTGGCTTCATATCAGCTCAGCTGCAGGCATTGTGACCATTTAGAGAGTGAACCAGCGGATGGAAGATCTCTCTCTCTCTCTCTCTCTATCTCTCTGCTTCTCTGTAATTCCACCTTTCAAATAAATAATCTTTAAAAAAAATTTACTGGACACAAAAGCTTCTCAAACTCATCTGAACAATAACTGGTTCACAGTTCGATAAATTTTATAGTAAAGGCACCCATAGGAGGAACTTTGAGTATGCTTTTGATCTAGGGAAGAAGAGAATCTGAGTTTGTTGGAATAACTGGGCGGGGGGCTGCCAGGTAGGAGTGATGAGAGCATCAGATGTCGTGGAGACACTGCCAGTGCGCGGGGCTCCCCACCCCTCTCTTCCCGTCAGCTTACCGGTTTGACATTCCACACAGATGAACTTTCCGTCAGGGAGTGAAGGGAGCCCCAGGCACTCCAGGTGGAAGTGTGTGCAGCACTCTCCCTCACAGGCAATCAGAGAGTCGCCAGAGCTTTCACAGATCTGTAACACGGCAGAAAGCAGGGGTCCTCAAACTTCAGAAGGCATCGGATCCACCCGGAGTTTGATTCGGTAGGTCTGGGGTGGGGCCCAAGAATCTGCATTGCTAACATGTGTCCTAAATGTGCTGATACACTTGGCAGTCCTTGAGAGCCACTGAACTAGACAGCTATTTCCACATCCAATATGGCATTAAAGTATAAAAAGTCACACTTGGGGCTAGTGCACAGCAGGTAAAGGCTCTGCCTGTGGTACCAGCATCCTATATGAGCGCCGGTTCAAGTCCTGGCTGCTCCACTTCCCATCCAGCTCTTGCTATGGTCTGGGAAAGCAGCAGAAGAGGGCCCAAGTGTTTGGGCCCCTGTACCCACATGGGAGACCCCGTAGAAGCTCCTAGCTTCTGCTTCAGATCAGCCCAGCTCCAGCCATTGTGGCCATTTGGGGAGTGAACCAATGGATGGAAGACTTCTCTCTGTCTCTGTAACTCTCTCTGTAACTCTGCCTTTCAAATAAACAAATAAACCTTTAATAAAAAAAAAAGTCATACTTGATCTTTTATGACTCCTTCTTTGGCATCTGCACACTTTAACTTTTCTTCCTGGGTCAAAGCAGTATTTTTCAAAAAAGATGAAAACACATTTAAAAAGTTCATATACAATCAAACTTCAGAAGTCCTGAAGTCAGTCCTCAAATTACTAACAGCATATCACAATGAAGGCACCTGCACTTGATTGTTACGTGTTCCTACTCAGACAGGGAAGAGCCACAAAGAGCTCTGGGATCTGAAGCTTTAAAGTAAGATTACCCTCTTCAATAGGAGGTAAGTCTCTTATTGGCAGAATACAAGAGCAACTGTCTCAAGCCATGGGATCCATCACCTGCCTACCTGACACACAGTGTCCTTCTTACTCATTCCAACGCCTCTTCTGGAAAGACTGGAATCCACGGACTGCACGTCGGAAACATCTGCATCTGCAGTAGCTGAAGGGCTATCTACTTGCTTTCCAAAGCCTACCTATATGGAAGACATAGTACATCTTTAAGAAAAACAAAACAAACATTCCCTTAAAGTTAGACACTATGAAAATCCTAGTAAGACTTGCTCAAATAGATGTAGACACAATCACTTGTTTGTTTGTTTTTTTCTCTTTCTAAAATCCATGGATACTATTATATATGCTGTTTGGGGGGGGGGGGGAGAAACTGTAGTTAAAATGAAGAAACAAATAAACCATGTTTCTGTTATATAAGACATGACCAAAATGAAGATGCCCATAAGCTACCAAAGCTGCATCCCCCGCACCCCCCCCCTCCCATGTATATTTTAGAAATTCCCCCAAACAATTCATAATCTACGAAGCACTATGTTACTTTGGTTTGGCAAAGCAAAAAAACAGCACTGTGCCCAGACCCTTGGACATATTTACCTGCAGATCACTCAGTCCTCTAGAATCGGAGTCAGATGTATCTCTGTATGCTGAACTAGTCATTTCTACATCAGTTGAGGCGCGACTCCTTTTCTTTAGAGGTTTACAGGAATCTGAAATCTCGCTGGCACCTTAATATAACACACTGAAATTAATCCTAAAATAGTGCTTAAAGTTTGTTGTTTTAATTTTTTTTTTTTGGTGGGAGAATATTTTCTTTCCCCAAACTCATCTTTCGTGTGGGAAGAAAAAGCACGGCTCTCTTTGTAACACTGAAGTCACGAGTCAAAACTTCATAAGCTTCTGACCTTCCTGGTAGTGAGTGATTTAATTTACAACCGCTCTATTATAACATTTAATTCAGTTCTCCTGCTCTAAAGCTCTGTTCAGTCAATAGAGCCCAAGTTCCAACCTAAAAATAAATTCTATCAAAACTGCAGAATAGCTGATTGATTTGGAGCAATTCAAAGAACCGTTCAATTTGGAGGGGGAAAGACATAAAACCCAACACATTGTGTAGCTTACAAATATGGTCGCAGAGACATCGCCATCTTGTTTTTATTAGGGATGTGACAAATCTTTGATTTGTATTCGATTCGTACACGGATAGTGCCATTTTCCCCCAAATTTTGCAATTCAGTTGATTACTGCCCCCCAGATAAATTTTGGATGTTCGTAATTGTTCATCTGAGACTTCCTTGGTGAAGTGGCATTTATGTGACCGTTAATGAGTGCTGCAGCACATGTACATGTGTCATGCCATGTAGGTGGCACACTGCGGAGGACTATAAATGGACAATCAGTGTTCAAGTGCAGCCAAATCACGAAGAGCTGGATGAGAGGCCTCTATGTGGAATTTGTGCGGGAAGAAATAAATATGAAAAAAAAAAAAAGGCAGAGAATAGTGTGGAATTTTTTTTTTAAAACTGTGTGTAATACAAATCCAGCCAAAACAATAGTGCAAAAAGTTACAAAGCAACAATCTCTTGGGCTAATGCAGTATAGGCTATACAGAAACAGCCACGATGAAATGTGCAGATCAGGCACGGTGAACACCAAGGAACCAAGGAGACGGTTAATATTTCAACCCACAGTTTGTGTTTTGGATTTTTTCCCCCAAAATTTCCATACAACAAACAGACATCTAGATCAGCCCAGCAAGCTATGGTGGAAGTGTGCAGTCCAGAAGAGCCCGGGGAGAAGCAAGTCTCCCGAGGCCGTGAAGATCCGCAACAGGCTGAGTGAGCGCAGCACTTGGCACCCAGCCGTGTTCCGTGCTGGAGGGTGCGGGCCTCGCTAGACTGCTCAGAGTACTGGAACCTCGGTATCACAGCTGAATGTTTCCTGGTATCTATAAATGAGGGTGCCTTCCCCGGGTTAACGCTGATTAAAAAGCACAAGTACACAAATCTATCTCCTTCATTGCTGGTGTATGGACCCAGAACACCACCACAAAATATTTCCTTGGCCTAAAAGATCACTGGATTAACAAGGAGTTTTAACAGAGGAACAGGAGTGCTGCACTGAGAGGCTTTCGAAGGGAAACACAGGTACCGCCATTTCCGAAGAGTTCTGAAAATGCTAGAAAAATGACAGGCTGCCCAAGACAGCTGTCATGCTGTTCTCCATGATAACGGCACTAATATTTAAAAAAAATAAGAGCTTTTAATGATTGTAATGTATACAGTTTGGGCTGTTTGGCAAAACCCTGCAGATGTGCATTAATGACGCTTTATTTAAAAACAAAAAAAAACAAAAAACAAAAAACAGTCCATGTTGGAATCGATCAGTGTAAGTTAACGGTGGTTTTTAGGCTGGACCCATGATTTAAGCTGTACCCATCCAGCTCAGAACAAAAAAAAAAAAAAAAAAATCATTTGAATGTTAAAGCAATTGTTCAGAATCTTGAAGAAGAAACCAGGCAGGAAAATGCCAATAGCAGTGATTGGCAAAATCAAAATTGAAAACAAAGAAACTGTTTATCAAGCCGCCGACAAAGAAATCTTGCATGGAGACTCCAAGTCTGGAGTTTCTGGGATGAAATTGTACAGGAATCTCAGTCCACAGTTTCCTCAATCGCTGCGGAGACGGAGCTGTCACTGAATCTGACAGAGCCCTGCACTCCCCGGTCCGCCGACCCTGTGGAATGGTGGAAACACAACGCAATCAGGCCTCCTAATCTCGCAGCCATCGCGATGTCTTTTCTTGGAGCTCCGCCAAGCAGTGTTCCCTCCGAGAGGCTGTTCAGTTCTGCTGAGGATCTCCACGGAGACCATCGCTGCAGACTTCTCCCCGAGAATGCAGAGAGGCTGGTGTTTTTATTTTTATTTTTAAATAATGCAATTTGCCCAGAGTAAACTATAGCTATTAAATACAGTTTGATCTCACTAAAAACGCACGAATCATGCTATGGAGTTTGTACTGTAGTCAAATTGCACACAGAAAATACAGATATAAATTTAAGGTTTCTTAAACTTTGTGCATTTCTCAAATTTATTTCGCATAAGGTCATCTAATAGTGGCCATAAATATGCTATGAATCATTTTAATTTACAAAAAGATTTTACAGCACTGTCAAAATAAATGTGGCAAGAATTTTTTCAATCAGCTTGTCTTGTCTGATTTGTCATAGTCCATGTTTGACAAACATGAATAGCTACTATTCGGTATTCAGTCGAATACCAAAAAAAGTGGATTCGTCACATCCCTAGTTTAATAAGCCAGTGAAACCCCAGAATTTTATGTAGAAAAGGCAGAAACAGTATCAAGTCTACATGGTGTTCTCCAATTTACCAAAACAAAGAAAGACTTTTGACGTGGAGATACAGAAGATCAACTTGAAAAGTCTCACACACACACACACACACACACAGCACAAACTGGGAAATACTGCAATTTCACGCTGAAGAGCAATAACAATGATTTACAGAGACAGACAAAAATACATGAAGTACAAATAAGTAATTCTTAAAAATTGGTTTAATCAAGGAAATGCAAAGCAACATTATAATATTAACTCACCTTTCTGTAATCCAGTCTTCGCCGTAGCCTGAGGAACTGTTTCAACCTGTTTGGACAGAAAAATACAGCATTAACAAGGAATTTTTACTCTATTAGTAAACGGAGGGAAAAAAAACAACACTTCCATGGATCTAAGTAATGATGAGTGATTCATGTATCTGGGTAAAGTTCTCTTCTGGAGTTCAGGCAGGGTTTCGGTCCTAGCTGCTTGTGCTGAATACCAAGTGACAACAAACAGCCACATGCTCTCTAGCCAGGATTCTTCCCACCACTCCCTCAGTAGATGACAAGGACGAGAACACTTTCCTCAGTGTCTGGGAGGCAGAAGAGGGGTTGTTTGTGCAATCAGCCCCGTTGCTGCTATAAAGCCCTCCCACCCCAAAGACGTTAGGATAAATTTTTACTTACTATGGTACTCAGGTTAATGTAACTCACGCCACTTTAAGACCCTTCCGCGCCTGCACTCACAGCTAAGTTGCTGGGAATCAGGACCCTCTCTGTAGAGAGTGCTACAGGGCTCCATACAGCTGGAAGCTCAATACTTTTGCTGCTAGTACAAACTTAAGAAAATAAGTTTGTGATATTGCAAAAGCACTTTCTTGAGTGTCTTATGACCAGTGTCTTGATCCTACATTAGGAGAGCGAGATCAGAAGTTATTCTGCCAATGTATATGTAAAACACGTGGTAATTTGAGGACTGAACCATTGGAACTAGAGAAAGGATGCTATCTGGAGGACTTCCTGTTCAAGCTAGGAATTGAATTTCATGTTTAAGATGTAATGAAATATGCATGTTGAAACACATTTTGTAAATATTTCAGGATTGTTCTAAGCTTTTTTAAAAAAATTTTATTTTTTTTTACAACAAGTAAAAAAACATACAACAGAAAGGCTTTTATAAGATACAATTAGTAATACAAATATAAAATCTTCTAAACAATCACTGGTATTGTTCTACTACTAACTGTAACACAGTGGTATTAACAATTTGTCCCATTTTTTGGTACCCATTATGCTTATTAATTTTAAACTCACTGGTCATAGAGTGAATTTGGGAATCAGGTGGCAAAATCACAACTTTTTGGTAATGAATACTATAGATTTGCAAGAGCATAGAGAGATTTTTTGGAATATGATTTCCTAAGTATGAAAGCTAACATGATATATGAATGACAAATTAGTACATTACTTAAATTTTAGTTAAATATTCTGGAAAAAAATTTTTACATGCCTGATGATACCATAGAGCACAACATTAGCTCTTACATTTGGAAGGTTAAAATTATGAGGGCAGTATATTTTAAGTTGAAGAAGTCCACACTTACATTAAAAGGTTTTTTTCATAGTGAAACTTCCTGGAACTAATCCTATTCAGAATTTGTTTAGTGTAATAGCAGGTGTCTGGGTCATAAAAAGGTATTCTTTCCCTTTAAAAAAAATACTAAAAGTGAGCTTTAATTTAATTAAATAATAGTTTCTAAAACTTTCTTTGAAAAGGTAATATAACATATATTACTACAATGACTACACTTCTTTTACACACTTCAGTCAGAACGTATCCCACTTCAGTTTTACTTAAATACTGTTTATATGACACCTGACACCAGGGAAATGCCATTCCACTGGGAAAATAACATTCCAAAAAATCTGTGATATCACCAGAAAAGCCAGTTTATGATTATCTGCTTTTTATATATGAGACTATAAGTTAAATTAATTTGATTTGCTTAAAAAATAAAAACAGTACATACCAGCAGCTTAAACCAAAAATTAAAATTTCAAAAGAGGGAACTTAATGATGGTTCCAAATAAAACTCATGAAGACATGTCATCATTCTGTTCACAACAGAAATTCCAAAATAAATGTGAGGTTTTTTTTTAAGAGTCTTGTACCACTGGCTCCCCATGTCCAGAAACCTGTTTCCCGTGACAAGGCTTGAAGCAGAGTCACAGGGATGAATGTGTGAGAACTGGGCAATGGAAACCGCCCAGACAGAAGCATAACATAGTTCACAAAGGAAACCCAGCGTGGGGGACAAGTTTCTCTCTTTTAAGATATCAACATAAGCCACAACATTCACAAGTACAATGTTTTAACTCTCTACATGTAGGAAGCCAACCTGCTCCTTTTTGATCTTCTTCTTTGGCACAACCTCAGTGGACTTCTCTGATTCAGAACGCGTTCTAATTGATCTTCTCTGCTGCTTCTTTTCTACTGGGCCTAAGAGGTGATTTAAACAGATAAACAAAAACTCATTTAAGGACAGCTCAACATTCATGCAATTAAGGTTTGATCAAATTCCTTACCCTTCCTACCCATTGATTTTGAAATTTTAATTATATATCATTAAAAAGCTGTTAAGTACTTGGAAGCATATAAATTATTTAATAGATCAAATTATAAAGGCTGATGAGACTGGGATTCACAAAGCATTCTAAACTACACACACACAAAAGGGCATTTGATTTTTTTTTTAAGTTAAAAAATCAAACTGAGGCCGGTGCTGTGGCGCAGCAGGTTAAAGCCCCGGCCTGAAGCACCAGCATCCCATATGGGTGTCAGTTTGAGTCCTGGTTGCTCCACTTCTGATCCAACTCTCTGTTATGGCCTGGGAAAGCAGTAGAAGATGGCCCAAGCCCTTGGGCCCCTGCACCTGTGTGGGAGACCCAGAAGAAGTTCCTGGCTCCTAGTTTCGGACTGGCGCAGCTCTGGCCGTTGCGGCCATCTGGGGAGTGAGCCAGTGGATGGAAGACCTCTCTCTGCCTCTCCTTCGCTCTATATGTAACTGTGGCTTTCAAATAAATAAAATAAATCTTAAAAAAAAAAATAGCAGACAGAATCTACTTTTAAAGGCAAATAAACATGTTTAAGTAAATACAATTGAGGGGATGAAGGAACTCTTAAGATTTGGTGAAAATGGTTTACTTGAGGCCAGTATCATGGCGTAGCTGGTAAAGCCACAGCCTGTGATGCTGGCATCCTGTATGGGCTTGGGTTCAAGTCCTGGCTGCTCCACTTCCAACTCAGCTCCCTGCTAACGGCCTAGGAAAAGAGGCAAAAGGTGGTCCAAGGGTTTGGGTACCTGCCACCCATGTGAGAGATTTGGATTTGGCATGGTTTAGCCCTGGCTGTTAGGCTGTGTGGAGAGTGAATCAGTGAATGAAAGATCTCACTCTTGGCCGGTGCCGTGGCTCACTAGGCTAATCCTCCACCTGTGGCGCTGGCACACAGGTTCTAGTCCCGGTCGGGGCACCGGATTCTGTCCCAGTTGCCCCTCTTCCAGGCCAGCTCTCTGCTGTGGCCTGGGAGTGCAATGGAGGATGGCTCAAGTCCTTGGGCCCTGCACCCCATGGGAGACCAGGAGAAGCACCTGGCTTCTGCCTTCGGATCAGTGCGATGTGCTGGCCATTGGAGGGTGAACCAACAACAAAGGAAGACCTTTCTCTCTCTCTCTCTCTCACTGTCCACTCTGCCTGTAAAAAGAAAAAAAAAAAAAAAAAAAAACTCACTCTGTCTCTCTTTTTTTTTTTTTTTTTTTTTGACAGGCAGAGTGGACAGTGAGAGAGAGAGAGACAGAGAGAAAGGTCTTCCTTTTTCCATTGGTTCACCCCCTAAGTGGCCAGGAGCCTGGTCTCCCATGGGGTGTAGGGCCCAAGCACTTGGGCCATCCTCCACTGCCTTCCAAGGCCACAGCAGAGAGCTGGACTGGAAGAGGAGCAACTGGGACAGAATCCGGCGCCCTGACCGGGACTAGAACCCGGGGTGCCGGCGCTGCAGGTGGAGGATTAGCCTTGTGAGCCGCAGTGCCAGCCTCTTTTAAATAACTAAATCTTAAAAAAAAAAAAAGTGATTTACTAATTAGCTGACACTAGAAATTACTGGTTCAAAATTCAAACGTTACTACATGTTTTGTATTTTAACAAATGAGTTAGTTTATTTTATACGTAAAATGTTTAATAATGCTTGGTTCTTTTATTTAAGTTTTTCTCAATAAATGACCAAAACATAATCATTAATTTGACTATCAAGGGACCTGCTTATACTTTGAAATAATTAATTATGGAAAACTAGTTGAAACAAATTAATCAAGCTGTTTCATGACAAATAGCAAAACAAGAAACTATTAAGACGTCTAAGCAGTACAATCCTTCAAAAATAAAGGGAAAGAAATTCACGTGCAGCCTGTCTTGGACAGGGTGGAAACTCAGGCTGAAGAGCACCACCTGCAAGGGCAGCACCTGAACAGTGACTGCCCTCGTGACTCCTTCAGCACAGCTGTTCTCCCTGCTGCCAGTGCTCACACCCCTCGAGTGGTCCTTCCTAAACAACAGCCGCTACTACCCGAAGACATTAGGACCACCTATGGAATCAGATACAGGCTACTTCGTGAAGCCTTCCACATGGATTAATATGTTCTGATTTCATGGCTCCTGGCTATGTGTAAATAGATTCCCTCACCTCAGTTCAAAGTCAAAACAAAGATGGATTTTACTGCTCATTTTGGGGAAAGCGTGAGCAGACTGATAACAGTATGCTGATTTGGAGAGGACTTCAACAATTTCTTTTTTTAAAATTTTTTATAATATCATCCTTTTCTTTTTCAAAGATTTATTCATTTTTGTTTGAAATACAGAGTTACAGAGAGGCAGAGGTGCAGAGAGAGAGATCCTTCATCCGCTGGTTCACTCTCCCAAATGACTGCAATGGCTGCAGCTGGGCCAATCCAAAGCCAAGACCCAGAATTCTCCTCCTGGTCTCCCACGTGGGTGCAAGGGCCCAAGGACCTGGACCATCTTCTACTGCTTTCCCAAGTGCATTATCAGGGAGCTGGATCAGAAGTGGAGCAGCCAGGACTCAAACTGGCGTCCATATGGGATGTCGGCACTACAGGCAGCAGCTTTTACCTGCTACGCTACAGTGCTGACCCTGAAATAATCAATTTCTAACAGGATTAATTTTTATTGACAGGGTTGGCTTTGCGGCATCTGCAGGTTAATTCAGAGCCTGTGTGATGCCAGCATCCCCTACTGGAGTGCTGGTTCAAGTCCCTGATGCTCTGCTTCCAATCCAACTCCCTACTAATGTGTCTGAGAAGGCAGTGGAGGATGGCCCAAGTGCTTGGGCCCCTGTCACACATGAAGAAAACCAGGATGGAGTTCCTGGCACCTGACTTCAGCCCACTGCAGCCCCAGCTATGGTGACCATTTGGGGAGTGAACCAGTGGACAGAACATCCTCCCCTCTCCCGGGGGTCCTTAACTGACTTTCAAATAAAATAAATCATAAAATACAATTTTTTTAATGAATAAAGTTGCTAGCCCTTCCCTTTATTCTCATTCTTAGATTGAAGGACAAGTTTACTAAGGCCACACATACCCCAACCTCTCAGGCCAATGTAAGGACCCCAGGGAGCCACACTCCAATATAATCAGCAAAATGTAAGGACCAAGGAAAACAGAAATGAAAACGGAACCACCTAAAAGCCAACAAAAATCTTTACTTGTTTTGAAGATGACAACAAAATTATTTCACAAAATGAAAAGAGGTTAGACCTCTTATCTTAGAGGAAATAAGGCAACGTGACTTCTCAAAAATATTCTGAAAGCTACCTAAAGAACAGCTACATTTAGAGCTGCTGAGAAGCATGAAGTTCAAGTGCTAAGAGACAGGAGGTAAGGAACCCTGGATTAGGAAAACAGCTTAGAGACACAATGTGAACACAAACAGGTGTGTATTTTCTCAAGTCACAGAAACGCAGCAGCGCCACACATTTTATGCATCCCCTAACTTTACTATTCTCCTTAAACACTTAACATCAGCTGAAGGGAAAACAGGTCTCTTTGCTGACTTTTCAACTATTGAAGTTACTTTTACAAAACACAAGATGTTCATTCTTTAAATGGACAACGTGTGTTTGTCAGCAACAGCTGCTAATCAAACTGAAACCAAGGTCAAAGCTTTAAACTTCTCAACCCTAAACTAAGTTATAAATGCCTGCTCTCAAAGAAGGAACTACATTCCTTTTTCATCTAGAATTATAACCAGAATTATGAAAATTCATAGCAGAACCTATCCTTACATGAAAATAAAACATTCTATAGCTCAGGGAAAAGAAAAAAATCTAAGCTCCATTAAAAACAAAAACATAATATTTCAGTTACAGTCAGTCTGGTATTACACGAAGAGTTTACTTTCTTCCCAGATGGGGGGCTGCAGTAGTGCTTGGGCTCTTACCATCCATGGGGGAGACCAGGGTGAAGCTCCTGGCATCTGGCTTCTGACTTCAGCTTGACCCAGCCCTGAATGCTATAGTCATCTGGGGCATGAACCAGCAGGTGAAAGAGCTGGAAGAGCTCTCTCTCCCACATTAGGGTGCTGGTTTGCATCCCAGCTCCTCCTATTCCCATCTATCATCCTGCTAATGCACCTGGATAGCAGTGGATGATGGCTTGAGTTCTTGGGCCCCTGCCACCATGTGAAAGACCCAGCCCTGGCTATTGTGGACATCTGGGAAGTGAACCAGTGGAGGGGAAGATACTCTCTCCCAAAGAAATTAAAAAAAAAAATAAGTTTAGAGAAATTACCAATAGATTTGAAGACCATATTAAAATTGATAGTTCTTTTATGCCAATATCACAGGCAATGGCTGAACCACTGTGCCACAACAGCCCTGAAAATCTTGCAGTTTTTTTGAAGATTTACTTATTTATTTGAGAGGCAGAGTTACAGAGAGAGAGATAGAAAGGTCTTCCATCCATTGGTTCATGCCCCAAATGGCTGCAACAGCTGCAGCTGAGCTCATCCTAACTCAAGAGCCAGGAGCTTCTTCCAGGTGTCCCACATGGGTACAGTGGCACAAGCACCTGCTGCTTTCCCTGGAGCGTTATCAGGGAGCTGGATCGGAAGTGGAGCAGCCAGCCCTGAATGGCACCCACGTGGGATGCTGCATCGCAGGTGGAGGCCCAACATACTATGCCACAAAACTGATACACTTAACTATGGAAAGCTGAGACCAAAAGACTCTTTTACCATTCAAAGAATGGAAAAAAATGTTTTCAATTATGGTTAACATGCAAAATCTATGTCCATTTAGCCATTCCTTCCCTCAACTTATTTAATATTTTAAAACAGAATTTGAAATTATGCCAGTCACAGCAGTAGTTCTGGACTTTGTTCCTCCCTCCTTCCTTTAATTCAGCAGTCTTTTCCCAACTCAATACTGGATAAAGACATACCAATTAATTTCCCATCCAAGATGTGATCCATTGCTTCTGCCTCCACCGCTTCCTGTCTGCAGTCTCCATCACCATTTTTTTATTTTTTAAAAGAAAATCATCCCAAGTCCTTTTCTGAACAGTGACTTAAAAAGGGTAAGCCATCACCTGCAATGCTGGCATCCCATATGGGCACTGGTTTGAGCTCCAGCTGCTTTACCTCCGATTCAGCTCCCTGCTAATGAACTGGGTAGGTCAGCAGAAGATGGCCGATATGCTAGGGCCCCTGCCACCCACATAGGAGACTCAGAGGAAGCTCCTGGCTCCTGGTTTCAGACTGGCTCAGGCCCAGCCTTTGTGGCCATTTGGTGAGTGAACCAGCAGACGGAAGATCTCGCTCTCTCTCTCTGTAACTCTGCCTTTCAAATAAATAAATCATTTTAAAATTTATTTTTTTATTTGAAAGGCAGTTACAGAGACAAAGAGGGATTGGTTTTCCATGTGCTGGTTCACTGCCCAAATAGCCACAAAAGCTGGGCCAAGCTAAAGCCAAGAGCCAGGAACTCCATCCAGGTCTCCCACATGGGTAGCAGGGGCCCAAACACATAGGCCATCTTCTGCTGCTTTCTCAGGCGCTTTAGCAGTGAGTTGGAGTGGCCGGGACTGGAACTTTTGCACTGAACTGCGATGCTGGTGCCCCAAGCATAGCCTCACCCACCACACCACAACACTGGTCCCATGAATAGTGGTTTTTTATTTATCTCTTGTTATAAATCAGAATCCTAATTAAATTTCCCTTACAAAAATATTTATTCCTTCATGCCACTTAATCACAAGTTTGCCTATTACTAGTAATGCAAGATTAGGACTTTAAGACTGATTCTTCCAGAAAATTATGTATCTTTGGTCTCTGAGATACTATGCTAAAATATATAGTAAGAATTACATATTTGGGGCTGGTGCTGTGGCATAATGGGTTAACGTGCCACCTGCTGTGCTGGCATTCCCATATGGGTGCCAGTTCAAGACTCGGCTGTTCCACTTCCGATCCAGCTCTCTGCTATGGCCTGGGAAAGCAGAAGCAGATGGCCCAAGTCCTTGGGTCCCTGCACCCCTATGGGAGACCTGGAAGAAGCTCCTGGCTCTAGGCTTCTGATCGGTGCAGCTCTGGCCATTGTGGCCAATTGGGAAGTGAACCAGCAGATGGAAGACCCTTTCTCTCTCTGGCTCTCCTTCTTTCTGTGTGTAATTCTTTTAAATAAATAAATAAATCTTCAAAAAAATGAATTACATATTTAATCTCTGCCCCTGGTTCCTGGCATGGAGGTCCTAAAAACCCTTCTAAGTTTCTGAATGACAGGATGCTCATGCTGCTTTTATTCTAGTATCCAGTATCTGGTCTTTGACCCCAGCTCCTGACACAGCTCCTACTCCCTTGGGATTTCCTGTGTGACAGTAGTGTCTTTTGTTCCAGAGGGCTCTTAGATGGGGGCTGGTCACCAGAAAGACCAAGCCATGGTAGAAGCTTCAGCCCCACCTCTCATCCTCCAGAACGGAGAAGGGCTGCAGACTGAGCTAATAATCCATCATGCCTACATGACGGGGCCTCCATAAAAATCCTGAACCGAGGGACTGGCATTGTGGTGCAGTGGGTTAAGCTGCTGCCTGCAATGCTGGCATCCCACATGAGCACCAGTTCCAGTCCCAGCTGCTCTACTTCTGATCCAGCTCCCTGCTCATGAGCCTGGGAAAGCAGAAGATGACTCAAAGTACTTGGGCACCTGCCAATCACCTGGGAGACCTGGATGGAGTTCCTGGCTCCTGGCTTCAGCTTGGTCTGGCCTTTGCAACCATTTGGGGAGTGAACTAGCAGATGGAAGCTCTCTCTCTTCCCCTCTAATTATGCCTAATTAAAAAACAAACAAACAAACAAACAAAAAAGACCACCCTGAACTGAGGGTTTGGAGAACTTCAGGGTTTGCTGATAACATGGAGATGCCTAGAGGCTGGCACTCCCACAGAGGTCACGGAAGCTGTGCAACACTTCCCACATACACTGCATTTGCATGTCTCCTACCTGACTGTTTATCCCTATCTTTTGTAATATCCTTCATGATAAACAGGTAAACAAGCACAGAGCTTTGCTGGGGAGGAAGTCATGGGAACCTCTGCTTCAGGAGATACAGGCTTCCAACTGGCATCTGAGGGAGGGCCAGTCTTGCAGGAGCCAACCCGTGGGAGCTAACTCTGACTCCAGGCAGACAATGTGAGGAAGGAACTGAACTGGAGGACACCCACAGAAGTGGCCAGAGTACGCAGAGCAGCGAGAGGAGGAGGACAGAAAACAGTTTGCCTTTTCTTTTTTCTATTGTGTAATACTACATCCAAAAAACTTTTTTAAAGAACAACATGAAAGAAATTCCTTTCTTGGAAAATAAGATTCCAAATGACCAAGCCAGTTTATACCTAACTCTTTTCTGGATGACCATATTGAAGCTGTCTTCAAGAAAGACAACTGATGTAATGCTGTTAAATAAACTAAAACCACCAAACATTCAGTTAAAACTGCAAAATCCTTAGTGCATCAATGTCCTAAAAAAATTATTTTAAACAGTTCCAAGGCACAGTCTTCCTAAGTAAGAGGCATTTTTCCTTTAAACTTGAGTTCATCACAGAACAGGTTACCTTAGGACAGTCAGGCCTGGGCCTCCTCAGCTACTCATGTCTAGCGCACCTGGGAATGATGAAAAGAGCTCTGGCATCTCCCCACTTTTTCCCAATAGTGGTTGGGGAAGAAATGCTAAGACTGTCCTGTTCTCAAAAGCCCTGTAGGTGTGGAAGGGTTCGGTGCAGTGGGTGAGACACTGCTTGGTACACCTGAATTCCACATCCCAGTGCCTAGTGAGTGTCCCAGTTCCTCTGTTTCAGATCCAGCTTCCTGTTAATGTGCACCCTGGGAGGCAGCAGATGATGATCACCTGGGTCCCTGTCACCCAGTTGGGAGACCTGCATTGAGTCATGGGCTCCTTGCTTCAGCCTGGCCCAGCTCTAGGTTGTTGTAGGCATTTGAGGAGTAGACCACTGGATAGAAGATCAATCTCTCCCCCACCCCCACCTTTCAAATAAAGTGAAAGTAAATTAACAAATTTTTAAAAGTCAAATTACCAAATACCAATAAAATCCTATAGGAAAAAGAAATGTGACTATGAATAAAGCTCTCTAGCCAAACCATTCTTTCCTATTGAAACAACTGCTTTCATAATTTGATTTTTAAAGTATAATTTACAGGGGCCAGTGCTATGAAGTAGTGGGTAAAAGCTGCTGCCTTCAATGCCAATATCCCATATGCACATCTATTTGTGTCCTGGCTGCTCCACTTCCAATCCAGCTCCCTGCTAATGTGCCTGAGAAAGCAGTGGAAGATGGCCCAAGTCCTTGGGGCCCTGCACCCACGTGGGAGATCCGGAAAAATTTCCTGGCTCTGGCTTGGCCCAACCTCCTTGGTCACTGCAGCTATCTAGAAATTGAATCAGCAGATAGAGGATCCCTCTCTCTTTGTAACTCTTTCAAAATAAGTAAATCAATTTGTAATTTATATATGTGTATGTGTGTGTGTGTATGTATAAAATTTACTTTTGCTAACTAAAAGTATTTTAGGACCATGGCTACCGTTAGACATCTCCAAATGGATTGTGCACACTGCATTCACACCCACCTGTAGGACCAGCTGTTGCTTCAGGAGATGATACATTCTGTGGTGGCTTTTCACTTCTCTGGTTTGGTGTAGAAATTATAAGCCTGTCTTGCCCTCTGACACTTATTTCCGTTTTGTTACCAATTCCCTTTAAAACAAGGCAAAATAAAAATAGTGTTTACTAGGTTAATGACATCATGGGCTTGCAAATTTTAATTTGACTGAATTCTATATGGTTTCTTATTACAGCTATTTATCTTGACCCTTTTCAAAATCATCAGATGTCTTCTCAAACGTATAGTAAGATCACATGGGGAAAATACTATTTAAATGCAGCTGACAAATATCACCAAAAACGAACCTGTATCACACAATTTTCTGTCAAAAACAAAATATTTTCTGGTCTGAACAGTTTCTTCATTTACACATGTCACATAAAGAGAATTCTTGTCATTTTCATTTGGTAAAGTGCCCTATTACACAGTCAGCATGTCTTAAGAATACTGTTAGATACAGAAATGTCATTCATGGTCACCAAAATGAGAACCAAAGAGAAATCAAGAGCAGACAGAAAGCAGGTACAATTAATTTAGACCTCACTTTGGGTATTTTTAATTCAATGAAGTGAGGGAGGATCTTATACATATGTATGTATTTTTTTTTATTTTTTTATTTTTATTTTATTTTATTTTGACAGGCAGAGTGGACAGTGAGAGAGAGAGACAGAGAGAAAGGTCTTCCTTTTGCAGTGGGTTCACCCTCCAGTGGCCGCCGCAGCTGGCACGCTGCAGCTGGTGCACCGCGTTGATCCAATGGCAGGAGCCAGGTGCTTCTCCTGGTCTCCCATGCGGGTGCAGGGCCCAAGGACTTGGGCCATCCTCCACTGCACTCCCTGGCCACAGCAGAAAGTTGGCCTGGAAGAGGGGCAACCGGGACAGAATCCGGCGCCCCGACCGGGACTAGAACCCAGGCCGGCGCCGCAAGGCAGAGGATTAGTCTAGTGAGCCACGGTGCCGGCTGATATGTATGTATTTTTAAGCCTTCATTTTTAAAAGACCAGTTTTATTTCAAATTTTCTTTAAATAACATTCTTTTTCTTGGGGGGGAGGATGTGTGACAAAGTTTGATTTATGCATCTGGAAGCAGACAAAACTGTCTCCAAGAATAAAGACAATTTGCATTCAAAAAAGATGATGTTCATTTGCTACCAGCAGAAACAAGTAGTGACCACCACTTGCTTTCCAGCTTGAACCTATGTGTAGAGACAGGCAACAGAGGACCCGGACACTTCTCTCCAGGAACACCTATTACTAATGAGGCACACCTATGGTTCATTAGCTATTTTAATGCAGAGGAAAAATACATGCAGAATTCATTAAAGTATGTATGTATGACATGCAACTACCCCCAAATCCCAAACTCAAGACTGGTGTGAGCTGGGAGGGTAGGCAAGAGGCACATGGAATATATACTACCAATATTATGAAAGAGTTTAAGTCTTAAGATAAAATAGAAGTGTCCTAAGTAGAGGTCCAGGGCACACGGATGGAGGCATTCAGTATGAGAAGGCAGTTTCTATTCCATTACCCAAGGTGTCATCCCGGTTCACTATCTTACAACAAACACAGTCCTGGTATGTCTCTAAAATGCAGTCAACTATCCCAAGCCAACAGAAGTCTAACAAAACTGCCAATGTAACCAAACAGGTCAACAGGTATAATTTACAGTGGCTTTTATAATGATGGTTAATTCAGATAGCTGACAAAATTGATTTTAATAAGAAGCACACTTGCAACTAAGAAAAACTAACTACACAAACTAGAAACAAAGTACCCAGGTTGTTGTTGTTGTTGTTGTTTTTTCCATGACTTTCAGAAGCACAGCTCAGTTTTGGCTGCCAATTCAAGATTAATCTACTACAGATGGAAATATTACAAAAGAGGAGGGAAAGAAGAAAAACACAGACTTTTTTTCCTATGTCTTTTTGCCCACAGTGTAAACAGTATGTTTCATATGTAATGGATACAAAGGATGTTTAAGTTATATTCTTGTGTTATTATTTTCTCAAATGCCAAAGTTCACTACTTTCAAATACTGTTCCCCCAAAAACCCAATGGGAAAAAGTAGATACCTTCGTTGAATAGACAAACTGATCAATAAATTTCCCATCTCCTGTAGCATTCTGAAGAGCAAACACCTGTTCAATTTTCACAACTGGAGACATGTTACACTTCTGCAAATCCAGGCTCCCTTTGTGCATTGTGATGGAAGCTGGCAAGGACTTCCTCGCTGCTGCTGTTTTCCAGGCTATTTTAACAGGAGGCGGCTCGTCCTCCTCCACACTCGTGTGCCGCCTCTGGCTGTGTCTCCGGTTTTCAGTACCTGACTGTGAGGAGGCCACCTCCCCTGCGCTGGTCTGTTCTGACTGAGTGTTCAGCACAGACCTTGGTTTTCGAGTTTTTTTAACTTCAGCTTTGGAGGCAGTATTCTTTTTCGCTTGGTCTTCAGGCTGTTTATCGATATAGATGAAAGTATACTGTTCTATTCTTTCTTCTCGAGTCATTTTCAATGCTTTTTCCGCATGGGCAATGCCAATATCCCACTGAGCACGTTCTCTCTGGGGTCGGGGTTTTCGAATCTTTAAAACAGACACAGAAATAGGCATTCATTATGTGACATGCTTTAATGTAATGGGTACAATAAAAGCAATATATATTTCCCATGTGATCCTATTATCTTTTCAGGTTCTTCAGTCAAGTAAGTGGAATGTTCTAACTCCGTAACTTTTATACATTAGCACTGCTCTATCCAGGACACTAAGGTATACTCTTTTTCATATCTTTCCTTTGATGATCACTCTGCTGGACAAGTTCCCCAAGGAGGGAATCATCCTTCTCACATCATTTTCATAAAAAATCTAGTGAAAATGAGGGGGAAAAGAAAGATGACAGAAAAATGGTTCTTTTTAGTGGCTAATAAAACACTAACATTAAAAATGACACCCATGGCCAGCCTCATGGTGTAGTGGGTTAAGCTGCCACCTTCGATGCCAGTATCCCAAGTGGACACTGGCTCCAGACCCGGCTGCTCAACTTCTGATCCGGCTACCTGCTAATGGCCTGGGAAAGCAGTGAATGATGGCCCAAGTGCTTGGCCTCTGCACCCATGTGGGAGACCTGTTCCAGTCCCAGCCACTGTAGCTATTTGGGGAGCAAACCAGTGGTGAGAAGATCTCTGTGTCTCTTCTCTCCCTATGTAACTCTTTCAAATATAAATAAAGTACATCTTAAACACTTACACACATACACACACACAAGACATCCTGGGGCAGGCACTTGGTGTACACCACTTGACACACCTACATCCCATATCAGAGGGCCAGGGTTCAAGTCCTGGCTCCACTCCTGATTCTAGCTTCCTACTAATGAGCACCAAGAAGGCAATAGGTGATGGCTCAAGTAGATGAGGTCTCTGCCTCCTGACACGGGAGACCTGGATTGAGTTCTCGGATCCTGGCTTCAGCCTGGCCCAGACTCAGCTGTTGCATGCACCTGTGGGGTAGCCAGTAGATGGGGAGAAATCTGTCTGCCTCTTTCTTTCTCTCTCTTTCAAATAAATAACCAAATAAAAAAATTCTGACATGCCCTAAAGCTCCCATTTCTCTTTCATACCTAAGGGCAGGGAGCGAATCAGGGGGGCTATAGGCTACAGAGATCACAACAAAGCTAACAGGCAGAGGGCCAGCATTTGAAGCTGCGCTGCCAGTGTGTACCATAAGGCAAATGGATAGAAGGAAGTGAAAGGAGAACCTCAAGGAACAAATGAAAGTTGACAAAACAAAGGAGAGCAGCCATGAATGAGAGAAGAAAATACACCTCCACCATAGCTCCCATGTGTCTCAAGGTCCAAGGTCGATCCAAAGATTTGGCATTGGCATAAGAGGTAAGAAAACTCTGAAAAATGATGTTAAAGGTGAACAAAGAAGCTGAATAAAAGTATATAATCAAGGCAACTAAGAATTACCTAGATTATTTGACAGAAGCCACTAGAAATAAATCAGTTAATGAAAGTATGAGATGCAAGAGTATATGTCAAATATTGATGTATCAATCTGTGAAATCTAACTCTGATAAAATTAACCAAAATCCTCTCTGATAAGACTTAGCTTTTAAAGTATAACAATGACAGATTTCTGAGTCACAAGACATACTATAATTGAGCTTAAAACTTCCTGGTCCCAGCACTTGTGTGATCTTGGTTGAACCAGTGACTTAAGCTCCTATGCCTCAGTTTCATCTATAGAAAATGGAATTGGCCGGCGCCGCGGCTCAATAGGCTAATCCTCCGCCTTGTGGCGCCGGCACACCGGGTTCTAGTCCCGGTCGGGGCGCCAGAGTCTGTCCCGGTTGCCTCTTCCAGGCCAGCTCTCTGCTGTGGCCCGGGAAGGCAGTGGAGGATGGCCCAAGTGCTTGGGCCCTGCACCCGCATGGGAGACCAGGAGAAGCACCTGGCTCCTGCCATCAGATCAGCGCGATGCGCTGGCTGCAGCGCGCCGGCCGCAGCGCGCCGGCCGCAGCGGCCATTGGAGGGTGAACCAACGGCAAAAGGAAGACCTTTCTCTCTGTCTCTCTCTCTCACTATCCACTCTGCCTGTCAAAAAAAAAGAAAAAGAAAAAAGAAAATGGAATAATAGCATCTACCTCAAATAGATATGACTAAATGAACTAATACATATTAATATTATATACATCAGTTCATCTAGTAAATAAATTTACTACATAGACAGATACTGCTTAAAACAATACTTGTCTCACAGTAGGTGTTTACCAAATATTTTTTAAAAGTTTAGTTTCATCAAACAACTTTACTAAATAAGAATAAAGAGAAATTATGGGAAGATATTGAAATAGGAAAAAGAATACCACCACGACCACCCCAGGCAGAATCTACATTTCACTGGCATCTACTAGATTTATGTACATTAATTCAACTCACAGTAGAATCTCATACTGTATTAAGGAAGTATTTTGAAGTTTTCAATAGTACAATATTGTTTATATGACATATCAAACTGACACACCAACAAACTCTTTGAGGAGTTAAAATTACAAATCATTCCAATAATTGCTTGAACTTAAGTGTGAAAAATCCTTCTCAATTATGACACTGCTTAGAAACCCCACCAGTTTAGTAATATTAACATATTGGTAGTTACCTTTTGTTTTTCAGAGTGGTTGCTGGCTTGTTTGGCGGCCTCAGCCAGTAACTCTTCATACTGTTTATGACCTTTATACTCCCGCACTCGCTTTTCGTGAACCCATGCCCTCTCCGGCTGGTTGCTAAAGAACTGGACATGGTATTCCCGGGCCCCTGAAAGTAAAAGCCCTCCATGAACATTTCAGAACATAAACATCCACACATACCTTGCCAAAAGGTGTCCTAACCTAGATTCCAGTGTCACTCCCATTCAAATACGCACATTCTGGACGGTAAAAAGACATACTGCAATTCCTGCAATTCCCCAACTAAGAGCCTCTGTAATAATCGTTCCAAATGACTAAAATCAGCATAGAAAGCTTTAAGAGACAGAAAAGCAGAAATTCTGCTAATTATCAGGTTTACTAGCTTGACTAACAATTTATTTCTATTTGTCTCAAGTATTTTTTACAAACAAACCAGGTTATAAATAACGTTTCCTTCAAAAACTGTAAAACACGTTTTCTTGAATTTCTGAAAACCAAGTGTTGGTCAGACTACTTTTCTAGCTATGTAACTGTGCGCTGCACAGCTCTGAGGAGGAGAGGCCCCCGAGGATCTCAGGGGCCCTGCGACAGCCGTGCTATTTTCATAATAATGTCAAGACACTGTCTTTTTCCCTCTGTTGACATCTGCCCTTAATGGTGCAAAAGCTATACTGAGTAAGATGGCTGGCATCTTCGCAGGAATAAAGACCAACTCAGTACACCAGACTGCACCAGTCTGTACTCTTCACAATTTGAAAAAGAAGCCAGTTTTATTTAATGTCCTTGATGGAGCAGCAGAAAGTATTAACTTTACTAAATTTTGAGTAATGTCTCTTTAATATTGTGTGACAAAATGGGAAGAACGAACAGGAACTCTTTCGCATACTTGGAGTAGGATGGCTGTGATGTGAGTGCCAAAGTGGTCTCTCAGACGTTCTTTTCCTTTTTTTTTTTTTTTTTTTAAAGATTTATTTACTTATTTGAAAGTCAGAGTTACAAAGACAGAGGAGAGGCAGAGAGAGAGAGAGAGAGGTCCTCCATCTGCTGGTTCACTCTCCAACTGGCCGCAACAGCCGGAGCTGAGCTGATCCAAAGCCAGGAGCCAGGAGTTCCCCCTGGGTCTCCCACGCGGGTGCAGGGGCCCAAGCACTTGGGCCATCCTCCACTGCACTCCCGGGCCACAGCAGAGAGCTGGATTGGAACTGGAGCAGCTGGGTTTCAAACGGCACCCACAAGGGATGCCAGCGCTTCAGGCCAGGGCGTTAACCCACTGCACCACAGTGCTGGCCCCTCAGACCACCTTTTCACAGAACACCATTTTCATTAGAAAGTATGGCTGAAAGAATGGTGGTTATTCCTACTTGAGAATCTGGTACAAAAATGAGCAAAGCAAGTTTGTTTATTACCTCAAGGAAAACAACACTATTTGCTGCCAATAATAAAACTGGATCCTTTAAGCAAAATCAAAATTTTGGAAAATCTGTCATTGCTTCTTTGAATCTGTCAGTTTCCCAGTAATCATGTACTGATCAAATCAGTGGTGACATTAATATGATTTTTTAAAATATAAACATTTGGAAAGTCTGTCTGCCTCAGTAAATGGTTTTCAAGTGACCAACGCATGATGGTACAAAACCATGAAAGATGTATGCACAGTGTAACAGAGAACTGATGGATTTTCACACAACAGGTGCAGAAAGGTCACTGCTGAGATTCCAGACTCAGCATTGTAACTAACTCTTGTTAAGTTCTCTCTTAACATCAAAGAAGCACATCCACAATGATCTCAAACAGCTATTAAAATCTTCTTCCCTTGGGAATGACGCTGTGGCTGCAGAAGGTTAAGCCACTACCTGCAGTGCTGACATCCCATGTGGGCCCCAGTTCAAGTCCCAGCTGCTCTGCTTCTGATTCAGCTCCCCCCTAGTGGCCTGGGGAGGCAGTGGGTGATGGCCCAGTTGCTTGGGCCCCTGCACCCACGTGGGAGATCCAGATGAGGCTCCTGACTTCAGAATTTCAGGACTTCTAGCCCTGGCCATTGTGGTCATTTGGGGAGTGAACCAGCAGATGGAAGATCTCTCTTTCTCCCTCTGTAACTTGCCTTTCAAATAGAATAAATAAATCTTAAAAAAAAGTATTCTTCCCTTTTCCAACTACACATCTGTGTGAGGCAGGGCCAATTTCATAAACTTCAACCAGAACAACAAATCATAACAGAATGAAGGAGGAGATAAGAGAATACAGCATTTTCATTTAAGTTAGACATTAGAGATTTTCAAAAATGTAAATTAATCCTTCTTCTCATGAATTTTTTAAGGACTTATTTATTTGAAAGGTAGAATGAGAGAGAGACAGAAAGAGAGAAAGGGAGAAAGAATGAGAATCTTCCATCTGCTGGTGCATTTCCCAAATGCCCACAACAGCCAAGGGCTGAGTCAGGCCAGAGCTAGGAACTCCACTTGGGTCTCCCACATGTGTAGCAGGAACCCAAGTACTTGGGCCATCATCTGCCACCTCCAAGGTGTGTTAGCAGGAAGCTGGAGTGGAAGGGGAGTAGCATGGACTCAAACCAGTACTCTGACATGAAACATGGGTGTCCCTAGTGGTGGCTTAATCTGCTGTGCCACAATGCCCATTTCCTCATTAATTTTTTGAGAAGACAGCTTTCCATAAAAATATAACTTGGTAGTATATAATAAGCTATCACTTTAAAATAAATTTGTTAATATTTTAAAAATTTTCTCGCCTTTAATTTCTATATTAAAATAAATAGTAATAGATAAGACTCACAAAAACAAAAGGGTTTTTGAGTCCTCAAATGTAAAAGGAGAAGGGGGTCTTAGGACTTAAATATCTGAGAATGGATGCTTAGGAGCAGTGCTGCTCTTGAAGTGTGGTCTGAAGAACAAATGAGTAAATGCAGAGGAGGAGGATCACTCGGAAGCTATAATAGCAATGTGACATTGTCATGATAGCTAGACACAGCATCAAAAATAAGTTTTTGTATCTTACACAAGTATTAGTCTGCACTGTGATAGAGAAGGAAAATTTTTAAATGAACAAAAACTTTTCTTGTGAAGATTTGAAATATGGAGAGATGGGCGTGGGGAGCAAGATCTTCCACCCACTGGTTCACACCCCAAACAGCAGCAACAGGCACGGCTGGGCCAGGCTTAGGCCAGGAGCCTGGAACTCCACCCTGGGCTCCCATGTGGATGCAAGGGACCAAGCACTTCGACCACCTTCTGCTACTTGCTCAGGTGCATTAGTGGGGAGCTGGATTGGAAGTGGAGCAGCCACTTGGAAGCGGACTCAAACCAGCAATTGTATGACATGCTGCCATCACAGGTGGTGGTTTAACCCCCAGGCACAATGCCAGCCCCTTAAAACAAGTGTTTTACCAAATACAATTTTGAAAAGCATTGCTCTGAAGAAAAAGTATCAAATCAACAGAGAAATGTAGGAACTGGTTTTCTCAAGGAATTTAATTCAGGTAAGGAGGGAAAGGCAACAAGTAGATTCTGACTAGAAATACGCTTAAATTAAACTGATAGTTGGCTATACTAATTATATCCTAAATTTGACAAATTTTGATTTATTAGGCATTAATAATTATCTGAAGAACTACTTTGAAGCTAAATTAGTATATAATATGTAAAATAGACTATGAAAACAGAGACACACATACAACTCACTTCCATATCATCTGAGACAGAACAGCCAGTGCAAATCTAACTACAATTAAAAAAGGCCGATAAAATTCCAAGGGTTTGCAGGTAGAAACACACACACATAATATAAATTAATAAGTGAACTTGCAGGATAGGGTGGTGGGTACAGATAATAAGATTAAAGAACACGAGCTGGCGCCGTGGCTCACTAGGCTAATCCTCCGCCTTGCAGCGCCAGCACACCAGGTTCTAGTCCTGGTCGGGGCGCCAGATTCTGTCCCGGTTGCCCCTCTTCCAGGCCAGCTCTCTGCTGTGGCCAGGGAGTGCAGTGGAGGATGGCCCAGGTGCTTGGGCCCTGCACCCCATGGGAGACCAGGAAAAGCACCTGGCTTCTGCCTTCGGATCAGCGCAGTGCGCCAGCCGCAGCGCGCCGGCCGCGGCAGCCATTGGAGGGTGAACCAACGGCAAAAGGAAGACCTTTCTCTCTGTCTCTCTCTCTCACTGTCCACTCTGCCTGTCAAAATAAATAAATAAATAAATAAATAAATAAATACGATTAAAGAACACAAGATACAATCTGTTTCCAAATGTCAGTTATTTATTCAGAAGTAAAGAGAAAATCTGATGGGATGGTAAATTATAGTTAAAAACTCCAACTCATAGGCAACATGATCGCACTTAAATACTTTCAACTCTCTCCTTTAAATCATTTGAGAAGAAAAAAAAACCAGTTTTATTTGCTAGCACTTTGTTTCCTGCTGAATGGAAAACTATGAGGTAAATAAAAACCTGAAGACCTGAAAAACCAAGAAACAAGCACACCAACCCTTGAAAAATAGACTACACTTCCAACAGAAAAATAGTGAGAAAATGTTTTAATACAAAAAAATGCAAAACTAAAACCTAAGTTTGAAGATAAAATAAAACCTCAGTTTTATTTTAAGAAAAATGTTATAAAATATGCTACTTTAAGAAAAATATTAACTAAGAACAAATTATGAATGTACCCAATACCTGAAAATGTTTTAATTTCCCTCTCATTTTTAATTAGTCAGCACCGTACACCGTGTCATGACTAAGCTGGTACTGGTGGGTGAGGGATATTTAATCAGTAAGTCAGTCTTCACACAATGTATTGTTCTGTCTCTGTGAGAGGAAAAAATACAGCTTGGGCTTGTATAGCATGTGATTTTGAAATGAATACCCTGAAAAGCACTAATTGTTTTACTTGCAATATTTTTCTATAACAAAACAAGTAGCAATAGGAACAGAGGCTTTATTTGTGACCTTAGACATTCTCTGGTTAGTACTGCAGTAAGCTCACAGCAGATACTTGTAAACTCATGTATGAAGGGTAGTAATATTGAGATTTAAATTGGCCTAAAGCTGCATTCTTAATTTTTTAATAGTGTGCCAGTTTTGTGGCTCTAGTCATGTGAGTCTTGTTGAAATGAAAAGTTGGCTGGCGCCGCGGCTCAATAGGCTAATCCTCCACCTAGCAGCACCAGCACACCAGGTTCTAGTCCCGGTCGGGGCACCGGATTCTGTCCCGGTTGCCCCTCTTCCAGGCCAGCTCTCTGCTGTGGCCCAGGAAGACAGTGGAGGATGGCCCAAGTGCTTGGGCCCTGCACCCCATGGGAGACCAGGAGAAGCACCTGGCTCCTGCCTTCAGATCAGCGTGGTGCGCCAGCCGCAGCGCGCCAGCCGTGGCGGCCATTGGAGGGTGAACCAACGGCAAAGGAAGACCTTTCTCTCTGTCTCTCTCTCTCTCACTGTCCATTCTGCCTGTCAAAAAAAAAAAAAAAAAAAAAGAAAAATGAAAAGTTATGCGTATCCCACAAATTTAAACATTTATGTGTAAAATAAAAGTATGAATAAATCTCATATAAAATGTCAAACTATACATGAATATTTTCTTCAAAAACATATGAAAGCCAATAAAATCCACTTAAATTTCAAATAAAAATTGATAGGGTTAAAAGTAACAAAAGGTATCAAAGAATACCTGATCCACTTAAAACTCTCAGTACAAATATTTATTTATATAACCATTAATTTCAATCTGTATAGAGAAAAAGAATTACTCCTAAACTTTTTTTTTTTGTTTGATAGGTAGAGTTATAGACAATGAGAGAGAGAGACAGAGAGAAAGGTCTTCCTTCCATTGGGTTCACTCCCCAAATGGCCACCACGACTGGCACTGTGCTGATCCAAAGTCGGGAGTCAAGTGCTTCCTCCTGGTCTCCCATGCGGGTGCAGGGTCCAAGCACTTGGGCCATCCTCCACTGCCCTCCTGGGCCACAGCAGAGAGCTGGACTGGAAGAGGAGCAACCGAGACTAGAACCCGGTGCTCATATGGGATGCCGGCGCTGCAGGTGGAGGATCAACCAAGTGAGCCATGGTGCTGGCCCCGTTTTTTTGTTTGTTTGTTTGTTTGTTTAATTTATTTGACAGGTAGAGTTACAGACAGTGAGAGAGAAAGACAGAGAGAAAGGACTCCTAAACTTTTAATAGTCATTACATATCTAGAAGATGAAACTATGGGCACCTTTGGCTTTTTACCATATATATTTCTGTAAAGTTTTACCTTTTCTCACTGAAAATATAATTTTTTAAAAGCAAAAAAGCATTATTTTTTAACTTTTAAGATTTTTTTTTAGATTTTATTTATCTTATTTGAGAGGAAGAGTTACAGACAGCGAGAGGGAAGACAAAAAGAAAAAGTTCTTTCATTCACTAGTTCACTCCCCAGATGGCTGGAGCTGTGCCAATCCAAAGCCAGGAGCCAGGAGCCAGGAGCTTCTTCCGGGTCTCCCACATGGGTGCAGTGGCCCAAGCACTTGTGCTATCTTCTGCTGTTCTCCCAGGCCATAAGCAGAGAGATGGATCAGACGAGGAACAGTGGGGACACAAACCAGCGCCCATATGGGATGCCGTCATAGCAGGTGGAGGCTTAGCCTACCACGCCACAGCTCCAGCCCTTACTTTTTAACTTTTAAACTTAAAATGGGATCTAAATAATGAAATATAACTTCAAAGAGAAATATGATCCTAACATCTTTTCAATATGTTCTTAAAAGAATTATTACTTTTTCTTAAAGATTTATTTTTATTTATTTGAAAGGCAGAGTTACAGAAAGAGGGAGAGACAGAGACAGAGGTCTTACATCTGCTAGTTCACTTCTCAAATGGCCACAATGTGCAGGGCTGGGCCATGCCAGAGCCAGGAGCCAGGAGCTTCTTTCAGGTCTCCTATGTGGGTGCCAGGGCCCAAGCACTTGGGCCATCTTCTGCTGCCTTCCCTGCTGCAGTAGCAGATGCTGAACTGGAAGTAGAGCACCCAGGACTTGAACTGGCACCCATATGAGATGGTTGCCATCCGAGGTGGCAACTTCACCCACTATGCCAGAATGCCAGCCCACAGAATTGTTATTAAAGGTACAAAAGCCCATTAAATATGTCTCCTAATGCTAAGAATCTAATCACAATACTGACCAATATGGACACTAATGATCACTATGTATGATCAGGATGACTTTTACAAAGGAATCTTGATAGTAAGTGATCCATGCTTGCTACGAAGCAAGCCCACCCCAAATGCTAGAATCTCGGGAATCCAATCCACATCATATTTGGTTAAAACCAAAAAAGAAGGGGGCCGGCGCTGTGGCACAGCCGGTTAAAGCCCTGGCCTGAAGTGCTGGCATCCCAAATGGAAGCCGGTTCAAGTCCCGGCTGCTCCACTTCTGATCCAGCTCTCTACTAATAAGGAAAAGATGGAAAGCAGTAAAAGATGGGACCCATGTGGGAGACCCAGAAGAAACTCCCGGCTCCTGGCTTTGGATCGGCACAGCTCCGGCCGTTGCGGCCATCTGGGGAGTGAACCAGCAGATGGAAGACATCTCTCTCTCTGGCTCTACCTCTCTCTGTAACTCTGTCTTTCAAAGAAATAAAATAATTCTTAAAAAAAAAGGTGTAGAGGGCCGGCGCCGCAGCTCACTAGGCTAATCCTCCGCCTAGCAGCGCCGGCACACCGGGTTCTAGTCCCGGTCGGGGCGCTGGATTCTGTCCCAGTTGCCCCTCTTCCAGGCCAGCTCTCTGCTGTGGCCAGGGAGTGCAGTGGAGGATGGCCCAGGTGCTTGGGCCCTGCACCCCATGGGAGACCAGGAGAAGCACCTGGCTCCTGGCTCCTGGCTCCTGCCATCGGATCAGCGCGGTGCGCCGGCCACAGCGCGCCGGCCGCGGCGGCCATTGGAGGGTGAACCAACGGCAAAGGAAGACCTTTCTCTCTGTCTCTCTCTCTCACTGTCCACTCTGCCTGTCAAACAATAAAAAAAAAAAAGGTGTAGAGAAAAGTTAGAATATATCTATTCTTAATTCGTATTAATATTCCTAATGTAACATTCCATGTCATAAACTAGATTCGGATACATTTTTATGTTAATCAAACATGTAGGGATGCTCCTGTAACCTGACATTAAAAAAGGGATCAGAGGAGAAAACCATCCTACAAAAAGTATCAGCATGAAAAGTATTTGCCTGGGGGAAAAAAAATCTCTTAAAACAGAAGTCAAGGACAAACAAAATACGAATGTTCAAACAAGGCTCGGCCCAAATGCTTACCCAGCTCATATAACACATCGCTTATCCATAAACTTTCTTCAGGAAATTTCAAAATGTCAGATTAAGATCAGCGAGTTAAGCAGCTGCTTAGGATGCTTGCATCCCTTACTAGAGTGCTGGTTTGAGGCCCAGCTGCTCTGGTTCTGACACAGCTTCCCACTAACAATGAATATATATAATATATAATATATGTATATATGTATGTATGTATGTGTGTATATATATATATATACACACACACACACACACATACACACCAGACGATGGTTCAAGTACTTGGGCCCCTGCCACCCATATGAGAGACCCCAGTGGTGTTCCTGGCTCCGACCCTGGCAGTTGCAGCCATCTGGGGAGTGAATCATTGGATGGAAGATCTCTCTCCCTCTTTATCTATCACTGTTTGAAATAAATAAATAAATTTTTAAAAAAAAACATGAAAAAGGAAAAAGAAGTGTGAAGGAAATTATAAACAATTGCAGGGTGCCATAAAGGGAAACAAGGACTATATTAGTTATGGCTCTCTGTCAGTTAAAATGACAATAATTATTTCAGTGGCTATTAAAAACTGATATACATTTGTTTCTGTGTCAGACTGTAGGTCATGTAGGTATTCTTACATTCACAAACAACATTTAAAGTTTCTTTTCTTTGTCATCCACATGTTTTTACTTAACTCCTCCATGCCTTTTCTTACCTCTTGTGTTAATTTTGGTGTGAACCTCGAGCTGGGGATCACTTGAAACCATACAAGGCCACCAAGGATAGGTTCCCACCTTGGACCAAACAAGATCACCAACCTGGAACTTAACACCAGTGGACACTTCTGTTGCTGGAACAGAAGATGATATCGGCTGAGCCTACAGGAAAAGGTCACAAAACTTCATCAGAAGAAAGATTTTTAAAAAAGAAAACTATGTACTACGCACCAAGTACATTAAAACGCTAACAATGTAACATTTATCTTCAATTATACTTTTCTCTGATACCTGCTATCTAAAACTAGCAGGAGGGAAGAAGAGAAGAGAGAAAAGTATTATTAATAAGCTCTGTCACTAATAGTGAAAATAGGGTTGATAATTTCTGTTGCCAAATAATTAGTATCTTGAGAAGTCACATGATCAACTAAAAAAAGGTCACAGTTTTGAAAAGGAAAATAAATCACTGAAAATATCTACCTCTTATACCAACTCCAAGGTTTATTTCAGTATAATTTCTGAAATAAAGAAGCATGGAACTGTAGTACCACAATGTTTTTGCAATTTAATCACTCTGCTTCCACCTTCTTAACCCATATCTGGTTAGACAATATTCATTAAAGCAACTCACTGGGGCTTCTTCTTTTAGTACTGGATCTTCTCTTGGTTTTTCTGATACTGTGTCAACCCTTTCATTTGGTCTCTAGGTAAAAAGGTACAGGTGAATAGAATAAAATAGCAGTAAACCAAGAACACTGACATACAGAAAAATAATCAAAACAAAATAGTAAAGAGCATAAAGGATATTCATTAAAACAATGTAAGGAGTAAAAAATACAACTTATGCAGTACAAGATGCTATGTCTTTTTTCTTCTTCTAAGATGTACTAATTTATCTGAAAGGCAGAGAAGGAGAGACAAAGAGAGATCTTCTATCTGCTGGTTCACCCCTCAAATGCTCTCAACAACCAGGGCTTGGCCAGGCTAACACCAGGAGCCTGGAACTCCACTGGGGTCTCCTGTGTAGGTGGCAGGAACCTAGGGGATGGGCCATCACCTGCTGCTTCCACGTACATGAGCAGGAACCTGGATTGGAAGTGGAAGAGCTGGGACTTGATCCCAGGCACTTCAGTATGGGATGTGAGCATCCCAGCTATCGCCTTAACCCACTGTACCAAATACTGCCTTGATGCTATGCCTTAACATTCATTTTCCATTCCATACCAAAGCTCTCCTGTTTCTTCTTTGATCAGTTTAGAAACTTAAATTCAATTAAACTGGTGGTACTGTTTTACCTGTCAGATTGCAGATAACAAGGCACTCTGAATTTGCTAGTCATATATATCTTAGAACTTTTCTGGACAGCAATTTAGCAGTATGTATGAAAAACCTTACATTTTCATCCTCTGACCCAGCAAAGTCATTTCTAAGAGTGTATATTGAAAAAGCACTGAGAGGTATAAAAAGCATACCTAAGTATGAGAGTATGTGTATCACTCCTACTTTTAAGAGAAAATAGAAATAATACAGATGTCCAAAAACATAAACAGTTAAATGAATTAGCATATAACTAACCAGAATAACACAAAAATAACTTTAAATAACATTAATTATTACAATGTTATTTGAAAACAGCAAATTGCAAAGCACTTTGAATAGATTCCAATGCTGAAAAAAAATTCGTTGTGAATACAGAAAGACCAAAAGGATTTTAAAAGTACCATGAAGTGATGAAATAAGTGATTTTTTTGGGGTGTTTTGCCATATTTGTCAAATTGCTTATAATACACTTTCATCATTCTTCTAATCATAAGCCCTACAAGTTTGTTATTTAAAAACCTAATTTCTACAAGCCTTTAGGAAGGCAACTTGGAAGTTATCCATCAAAACTCAAACTGGTTATACTTTTCAATCTAGCAATTACATTTCAGGAACCTATCTTTCAGAAGTACACAAAGTAGGAAAATCTAAACAGAGGGATGGTAAATGCAGTATTATGTCAGTCATCTACATGTCTAGCAACACCTTCCAATTTTTTAACTTTAAAAACAGTCTATATTGGTCTTGAAAATATACAATACAATTGATAACAGTAACTGTCTTTTGAGAACAAAATCAGGAAACAGTGAAGGAACATATTCTAAACTTTTGTATTATTTGCATTTTCTATAAGAAGCCAATCATTTCTATAAGATTTTAAAACATTCTCACTTCTCAGAACAAAATGTAAGTTAGATGACTTAGAAAAGAATGTTTATACATTAAAGCAAGTCATGGTTCTGCTAAAAGAATACAGTTAATTCTAAAAGCTACTTGAAATTCCCAATTACTTCAACACATTTACTATTGTAAAAACAAAGCTTTATTAAACTTTATTAAACCAGTATTTCAAACCCTAAGCATCAACATCCAATCAACAGTGCCTATGAATTTCTAGGCATGAGTTTAGAAGCTGGGTATAGAATGGAACTTCAGAAAGTTTACGAAAAATGGAACTGAAACATTGGTTTATTTTGGTACAGAATATTTGAAATCCATGCAAATTTTTTTCATAATAGGCATTTCCCACAGACTTCCTGAAGACTCCTCACTTGCATGAACTTCAAAAATGTTCTGCCCCCAAATAATATCTTTATTCTGTTTTCCACAAACTTGATTGAGCACCCTGGTATAATGGTGAAAGATGTGACCCCTGACCTCAGGGAGTTTAGGAGGCAGGGAGGCAACATAAACATCCAGTCACAAGGTGCGTGCTGGGAGGAGAGGTGGTGGTATTCTTAGGTATTGAGGTAAATAACATTACCACGTGAGGATCAAAGGCGGCGGCGGCAGCAGCATGTATTGGGTGTCTACGGTTAGAAAGGTAGAGACTTTAGAGGCATGATGACTGACTTCACTGCCCAGAGAAGACAGGGGAGAGACGCAAGGAGAGCAGAGAGGCAGGCTGGACTAGGAGGGTCCTGGAAACCAGGCTGAAGAGCCTGGATTCATCTTCAGTGCAACAAAAAGACACTGGCAACATTTGAGTAGAGGAGGAGCATTACGCAGGTAGGCGGAGAATATTTATGTATATATATAATTTGCCTTTTTGGCAGGGAGCAAGAGAGGAAGCAGAATGCTCAATGCGGTTACTATAGTAATCCAAGTAAAAGAAGGTAGTGGCACCTTGCTGACAGGCCCAAAACTGATTCCGAAGTAGAACTACAAACATCTGCTGGAACCACTCTGTGAGCAGGGGAGGAAAAATCCATGTTTAAATGATAAATGTGTAATGACAAAGCAGTTTAGAAATATCGCCAATGATTGTATAGATTCATTCGACAGTTCATTTCAACCTACTGATAACAGCTGAAGCCTTCACCTTAGCTTCTCACTGAGCGAGCTACAGCAGGAAGACGGACAACTTCAGAAAGCACACGTGTGGCCACCACACACTTGACCTCCTAACGTCTAGGTGGGAAGGCTCTTTGTAACTCTTTCTGAGCGCAGACACACATGGGATGACTAATGGTTTTTATTTATTTTAAGTTTACTTATTTGAGACACGGCACTCCTATCTGCTGGCTCACTCGCCAAATGTCCACAATGATCAGGAGCTGAGAGCTCAATCCCGACCTCCCATTGAGTGGCAGGAACTTAATTAATTCATCCATTACCTCTGCCTTCCAGGGTCTGCGTCAGCAGGAAGCTGGAGTCACGAGCTGGAGCTCTGAACTAATGTGAGTTATGGGCTTTTTTAAAGATTTTATTTATTTTAAAGATTCTATTTATTTATTTATTTGAAAGGCAGAGCCAGAGAGACAGGAAGAGAGACAGAGATCTTTCATTGACTGGTTCACTCTCCCAATGGCCACAACAGCCGAGACTCGGCCAGGCCAAAGCCAGGAACCCAGAGCGCCTCTGGGTCTCCCATGTGGGTGACAGGGCCCTGAACACTTGGGCCATCTTCTGCTGCTTTCCCAGGCACATTAGTAGGGAGCTGCATCAAAGTGGAGCAGCTGACACTTGAACTGGGGCCCACTGGGATACCAGCATTATATGCATCACCTGCTAAACCACAATGCCAGCCCTGGACATGGGCTTCTTAACCAGCCTCTTAATCACTAGGCTAAACACCAGCCTATGAGTGACTAATTTTTTCCATCAACAGTCACAACTGGAAGGACTGGTCTGAAATCCATTCACTTCTCCCTTCCTGGATTAAACACAGGATTTCCGGGGCAAGCATGCGGGATAGTGGATAAACTTGGCATTCCATATGGGTGCCGGTTCATGTCCCAGCTGCTCTACTTCAGATCCAGCTCCCTGCTAGTGGCCCGCGAAAACCAGCAGAAGATAAATCAAGTACTTGGGCCCCTGCCACCCACATGGGAAACCTGGAAGAAACTCTTGGCTCATGGCGTTGGCTTGGCCCTGCCCTGGTCACTGTTGCCATCTGAGGAGTGAACTGCAGATAGATCTTTCTCTGTAACTCTGACTTTCAAATAAACAACAACAAAGACAGGATTTCCTTCTAAACTTTATCACTGAAATGTCTCGGGGTTTTGTTTTGTTTTTTAATCTTTTTGGGTCTAGATTGTTGGTGTTTTCTTCAGGCTGGCCTGAAACACTGTCAAAAATCACTTTCAAATAATTTAAATCTTTCACGTGGTCATTTTTAAAGAAAAGTGGTAGCAAAGGAAAAAGTCCAATAAGCTGATTTACTATCAGCTTTGTTATATAAATGAGATGGGGGCTGGCACTGTGGTGTATTAGGTTAAGCCTCTGCTTGGGGCACCAGCAACCCATATGAGCACCAGTTCAAGTCCCAACTGTTCTGCCTCAGATCCAGTTCCCTGCTAACGTGCCTGAGAAAGCAGTACAAGATAGCCCAAGTGCATGGGCCCCTGCACTCACATAGGAGACCTGGAAGAAGCCCATGGCTTCAGCCTGGCCCCGTCATGACCATTGTGGCCATATGGGGAGTCAACTGTCTGTAACTGCCTCTCAATAAATAAAATAAATCTTTTCAAAAAAAAAAAAATGAGAGGGGAAAAAAAGTCAAATAAGGATGCTGTGATGACAGAGAGGGAATGCAATTTATAAAATGTGCCATCGCCATGGGCAAAACAGAAATATCCAGTGGGCAGCTGGCAATCTCTGAGTTGAGCTCAAAGGAAAGCTAAAAGGATAAAGCAAGAAGAAGCACAGTATCACGAACACCAATTAAAATGAGGAGAAATTTTGTTTAAGACACAATGGTCGGCCGGGGCCGCAGCTCAATAGGCTAATCCTCCGCCTTGCGGTGCCGGCACACCGGGTTCTAGTCCCGGTCGGGGCACCGGATTCTGTCCCGATTGCCCCTCTTCCAGGCCAGCTCTCTGTTGTGGCCAGGGAGTGCAGTGGAGGATGGCCCAAGTGCTTGGGCCCTGCACCCCATGGGAGACCAGGAGAAGCACCTGGCTCCTGCCATCGGATCAGCGCGGTGCGCCGGCTGCAGTGGCCATTGGAGTGTGAACCAACGGCAAAAGGAAGACCTTTGTCTCTCTCTCTCTCTCTCTCACTATCCACTCTGCCTGTCCAAAAAAAAAAAAAAAAAAAAAAAAGACACAATGGTCAATGGAAGTCAAAGCTTAGGGTCAAGAACTCAGAAAACGCCAAGAAATAAAATAGCTCTGAGTACAAAATCCATGTTCTTTCAGCTGTTCAAAGAATAGAGGGAAG